CTACGCTCGCTCGCCAAAATAGAAATAACACCGCTTTTAATAATCACGTCCCTGACATGGAACAATGAACCAAAGTTTATATACCATATTTTCCCTATAAAAGAGAAGTGATTATTTTTTGCTCGCTCGCTCGCCAAAATAGAAATAACACCGCTTTTAATAATCACGTCCCTGACATGGAACAATGAACCCAAGTTTTATGTACCATATTTTTCCTATAAAAGAAAAGTGATTTTTTCGCTCGCTACGCTCGCTAGCTCGTGGAATTATGTGCCCACCACTAACCTGCTACAATATCATTAAAAAGAGAAATGTAGGGGGTTGCCTACCCGCCAAAATGGGATTGACATTGCCTTAAACACGATTGTGCCCGCCCCCTACCTGCAACAATGAAACAAATTGTATATAGCAATTCATTGAGAGAAAGATGTATTTTCGCTCGCTAGCTAAAATGGGTATAAAATCACCCTAAACACAATATTGTTCCCGCGCCCTGCATGGGACAATTGAACCAAGTTTAAGTGGCAATTATTAAAAAAGAAGTGATTTTTTTTCTTGCTCGCTACACTCGTTTGCAAAAAAATGAAATTAACGTCGCTAACAAGTGAATGTTCCCACCCCCAACTTGCAACAATACCAGTTTATATACCAAACGTTACTTAAAGATTTTTTTTTTTGCTCGCTCGCTCGCCAGAAGTGAAAATTAGCATCGCCTTTTTTGTTTGTTTCGGTCGCTTGCCCCCCTGACGGAGTACCCCAGGTACGCCACTGGTCAGAGAGGACAGAGGATATGCTCCTAACTGGAATTTAGCTCAGTTCTGTGAAACACAGTATCAATGAACCTAAGTAATATAACATGGCCCCGGACCAGTGATTCTTTTGTCATGATACCTTTGGGGTATAAAATATTTTCAACGCAATTGAGAATCTAAAAATAATATGTTATTCTTATATATACATCGTACAAAGGCATGAATTGCGTTAATATTTACGAGCTATAGAGCCTACTCATAAAACTGGTAAATTCCAATCATGCAGCGGTGCGAGGGGCACACACTCTCACGTCACAATGTAGGTCATCAAAGACTATGAGAGGAGGGGTAAATGTAATAAAGAATACAGAATACATTAATAAGAAATTAATACAATTAAAACATCAGTTAACAACTTAATTATTCATACCTTTACCAAGTTTTTAATTTTTTAAGTATGTGAAAAATTGATTTGTCATGATTTATGTTCCTTGAAAATGAGACATATTAAACCATACATCTAAAATATAAATCAATAATTCCGTCCTTCATTCTTCAGTTACAAAAAAACCATATCAAATTTACAAAGGATATGAATGTTTAGTTGTTAACTGTAAATATATATAAGTACAACATGATAAAATGAGTATATTGATCATTTAATCAAACATGAAAATCATGTTTAATTCATCACCATTATTTGGTACAGAGTATAGCCACTCGCAAAAATGAAAGCATGAATAAAAAGAAAGAAAGCAATTACGGCAACTCATTCTCCTCTCTCCGAGTCGGCCATTCTATGACAGTAGTATTTTTGTAAGGGACTGTTACATACAATGATGAAGCTATACGGGGGGGGGGGCTGGGAAATGCGCCCCCCAAAAAAAACTTCAAATGAAGAAGAAGCAAAGGAACAGAAGGGATAGAATGGATGAAACGGGCATGTGAAAAGAATACTAAAGAACCCATGTGCACTCCCATATCCTTCCCCGATGAGAGGCATTATAAATTGGTATATCATTTTTCGAGTGAAACAGGTGCCCCCCCCCCCCCTCCTTCAGTGGCTGGACCTATGCTCAAAAGTAATACATTGATCAGGGTTTGTACAATTATTAATGCAAGTCGTGTTGTTATTCACGTCTATTCTTAGTGTCATGATTTTCTTTTCTTTTTTATATTACCCTGAAATGAAAACAAATACTAAAACAAATTACCAGAGTATAATGTGATAAAAGAGAGGGGGAGAAGGTGGAAAGAGCAAACACGATAAAGGGGGAATAAGAAAGAGAGAGAGAGAGAGAGAGAAAGAGAGAGAGGGAGAGAGGCTGAAATAGAAGGATATTATTCAAAATGCAAAATTACTGCTTATGTTTTTCTAGTTATACTTGATTCAGACTATGCACAGAAATGATTATCATAAAGTTAAAATATAAAATAACATATATAAAGCATGGATAAAAATAAAACTAGAAGGAAGGATGAGTGGAGAAAAACAATGAGTTTTGTGTAGGAGAGAATATGCACAAGGACATGTAAACAACTTTGGACACAGATACATTTGATTAATTGAATGTCTACATATCGATTATTTTATTACTTCTTCAAAGAATAAACAATGTAGACATGCAGACATACATGATATTTTCATACTGAGTATTGCAAAAATTACTGGCATTGTATAATTTCTTTGATTTTATTGTGCTAACTAGTATACAAACTAAGCCCGAACAAAATGTTGCATAAGTTAAAAATATATTTACACTTATCTACAAGAAAAACAGATTCATGATTAAAAAAACTAAACAAACAAATAAGACAGAAATCTGCCTGGAAAAAGGCTAAACATTTAAATATTTATGGTTAAGTATATAAGCCAACTCAATAGATGCAAATTAGTAATTTGATATAAACTACAGGCAAGTTAATCTGACAATGAATTAATAACTCTGGGTAAGTGTAAACGATGATGCTTCATATTTACAAGTTGTTTGTCTTGCAGGCATTATGATTGATTTAAAATCTGAAATAGCATTTAAGGTGGGGGAGAAGCAGCTTCGAGGGTGCAATTTATTTGACAATCCGCACTGCTTAAAATGGTTTCTGAAAACATCTTTGTAAACTAACAGTTCAACCTGTTGCTGACATCTCAATCTAAATCTTTGAGGGGGAGGGGAGCACTGACTATTTTCAAAATCTATAAAGATGTTCTTTGATATTAAGGTTTTTTTTTTTTTTTTTTTTTTTTGGGGGGGGGGGGGGGTAGAAATCATATCTTCTAGGCTTGAGACATACATTAAAGGACTATTCTAGGGTACATGTATTTAATATAATTATGTCCCATTTCAAAATAATTTATAAGTGTCATATTTCTTGATATATTTCCTCTGATCTAAGCTACAGCAGGGCTATCAAAATAATACAAATATCAGAAATAGGAAAATATGTGATGCAGTCTGTTACATGTGTCACAAAATACCCTGGGTTTTCCCTTAGAACTTCCAATACATATAAAAAATTCCAGAAATGACAATGCTCATTTTATAATCCAAGTTAAAAACAAGTAAAATGTCTAAGTTTGTGATCTATATAGATGGAAACAAAAATGAAGTAAAAATATCTATGAAGGTCAAAAAGCTTCAACATGGAGAGCAACGATAGTCAATCATAAAATGATGATGTCATAATGATAATATGGAAAAGAATTTAAATGATAATTGACTTTATGCTTCTAGAGAACAGGGGGTGTTTCACAGAGATCCTAAGTTGAACTTATCTCTAAGTTGGACTTAACAATTATGGAAAGCTGTTAGCATCTATGAAAATATTTTGCACAAGTTATTTTAAAAGGCATAAAATGTTGATGCAAATCATTCATATTTTCTATCATCAAGGAGATTTAATGTTATTGATGTGGAATTTATAAAAACTATAAAATAATTGAGTTTTCACTTTTTAATATATTTTAATTTAAGGCTACAAATGGCTCTCTATAATTTGTTAAGTTCGACTTAGGATCTTTGTAAAACACCCCCCTGGAGCTGTATGAAAAACATGTGACATAGTGCGCATAAAACCATATCTTTCAATAAAAGACACCATCTGGTTAATTGTTTTCTCACTTTCTGGGACCTGCCTAGCCAGGGAAAGCAACCAATTATAGTCGGCTTGAGCAAACCTTCAGATCGATAGGTCATGCAATATGCAGTATGTGATACATAGCCTCCCTGGTAAAAATTGAAAAAATATGGTTGCTAAGCAACTTCATATATACATACACTCAAAATGTTCAGAATTGTTACATAACAATGATAAACCAGTCATATAATGATGTCATAATGATATTATGGAACAGAAATCAAATGACAATTCACTTCATGCTTCTGGAGAACAGGAGCTGTAGAAAAAACATGTGACATAGTGTACAAAATCTAAACCATTGCAATCTTCAAAATGGCTCGGAAAAGAAAAAAAACGTTGGGATAATAAATGTTGGGGTTAGGCAAGATCATCTCTGAAAGGTGTACTTCATTGCAATTTTAAAACAACAAGATTTTCCAGTTATTCTAAGTTTCTATTAGATAAGGATTTTTTTTTTCTTTTTTCTTCATGATCTTTCAAATGGAAAGCATGATGAAGAAGCTCCAGAGAACACTAACAAATTAAAACAAACTGCCTCAAAATATTCGAACTATTCACCATATTTAAGAATCCTGGGCCCCTGCCTTACAAAGAGTTGATATTAATCACAACTTACTCGTGACTGATATCAATCGCAACTACACGTATGTACATAAGAGATAGGAGACTGCAAACTTGCGATTGATTGGAAGAATTGTGATTGATTTGGATCAACTGCAACTCTTCATATACAGACCCTGATATACCATTGGGTTATTGGCACCACAAAACGTTATCAAATATGAAAAAAAAATAGGCCAACATATTTAGGGTAAAGTTTGCCGGATTCTGAGGAAACAGGATTGCAACGATTTCCAAGACATCAACATAACACAATGTCAATAGCCATGTGCGTCATCTTTTAAAAGTGAGATATTACAATAACAATAAATGATTTCCATTGACAATAAAAACAGGGCATTTAAACTGCCCTAGAGCTGATTTCTTGAAAGTCTCTGCAATCATGATATTGAATCCTACTATAATCAAACCTGCTTTAGCAACCACCTGTATAAAAACACACCCTGTCTGTAAAGACCACATTATTTCCCCTCAAATATGGTTTCTCATTGAAACCTCTACTAAAGGGACCTGTACTTAAAGACCACCTGCCTATAAAGACCACTTTTCTTGTCTCCCTTGGGTGGTCTTTATATACAGGTTTGACTATGTACTATTATTTAATCTGAACTATTTTAATCGCACGCTTGCAAGACTCTAAATTTCTATGATGCTGTATGCTATGGTGAATCACACATCGTTAACCTCTGCTTCGTCTGAGCTTCAAAGTTGAAATCGTAGTAAAACTGGTCATTGATTTCCATCTCTGATTTATACGGAATGCGAGGTACATCAAACTGTCAAAGAAAATATACAAAAGAAGGGCAATATAAAAGATTTGAGTATGATGAATATTGATTTCAATCTTGGATTCATACGGAATACAAGGTACTGCCAATCAAATTTGTTAGCAAGTATTCTACAGGCTGAAAGGGCGTCATGCGACACTCTGCATTTTGTTATATCTGCATGAGCATGCAACATAACAATCTTTTTAGGCACAGTATAGCGTGTAACAAAAGTGAATTAGACTGCGCACCTCTCGTCCCCGCGCATACCCATCGTTTGCCTCGTCTTAGCTGAATGCATCCAATGCAAAGATAACCTGAGTGCAAGTGCAATGAAGAAGGCCTGACTCCAAAGGGTCATAAATGCCCTCAATTTTATATAACAAATCGTTGAATATAACATCTATTCACCTCCAATTTCAGAATTTCCTTGTGCCATCATATTTCAACCTCGGCTTACGGCCTCAGTGAAATATGACATCACTCAGGAAACTCTGGATATGTTGAATCATATAATACTAAACACGGAAGGATGCAATATTTGTATACTATATTTTGCAATGGTAAATATTAGCTACATAATGTTATCATTACCCATTAGATTATTGTTGTAACAAGTCAAGCCATTAGTCCCTACAAAAAGAGTCCTGAATAGTAAATCAAATTGGTTTACTGCTGGTCAGATGATGTAACATATTTATAGGTTATGATTCAAGGCTAATTATTATAGTATTATGTTAACCCCTAAAACCAGAACAAACTTCCAATCTTAATAACAAAAAAACAAACAAAAATATTTCACAGTATCACTTAGTTTTAAAATGTCAATGGATTGTTTTCAAGAGTCAAATACTAGTAGACTGTTCTTATTATAAAGACAGGAGATGCTTAAGGTAGAAAGTTGGAAACACTATCTATAAATACTCACAGTTGATATAGTTGTTATGGCTTGAAGTGTGGGGTCGATTTGGAAGGGTACACCTTCAATAGCTGTTGGATATAGTGACAGAGAGACAAAGAGAGACAGAGAGAGAATGATTAAAAAATTATATAAAACAATACAATACAAAAGCAGAAGTGTTTGAGGGGCTAAATTTTCTAGTGCTTATAATACATACACAGGGGCATCCGAATATATCAACATTGTAAAGAATCACTATCCAGCCAAGTTTCAAACTTTCCCAAACATTGTATTACCTTTAATTAACAAAACTGATAAATACCACAAAGGACTGTCTACAAGACACTGTTTTGACCATACCTGAGAGTATATCCGTTTCTAAGTTGAGGGACTGTGATGTACGTAGCGTTGATTGACGGCTGGAACGTGCCTTATCCCAGGAGTACGGAAGCTGTGTTGGACCCGACTGCTGTGGCAATCTGGGTAAAGAGATCAAAGGTTAGAAATAAATATATTGAAAATGTTTCATAAATAATACATTTAGGGGAAATATCACCACCTTCAACCTTCTTTCTGAAAGTAAGAAGTAAATTTGTTTCATCATACAGAATGAAACTTCAACAGTTCCAATCAAAAGGATTGTTGATTTGCGTGATGGAGCCAATATTTGCTTCAATACGATATATGCTCGTATTTGCTTCTCCTTTTAGAAAATGTTGAAAAATGGACAAACAGTACAAATTTCATGAAGACATCTCAACTATGTCATGTATATAGTTGTGGTCCCATGATTATTCATGTTTTAATACTGATCCAACAAAAGTACAAGCAATCAAGAAAGATAGACAAACAAATAATACATGAATTAACATCAAGTCAACAACATGAGTGCATATAGATCACAAGTTTAGCAGGTGTTCTAGATACAGGATGCAATTTGGGATTTAAATCAAGGCCTATATTCAACAATAATACAAGGTCTAAATACATGTACTTCAAAACATGCTCCATTATAATCAAACAGTCCTTCCATATGTATATGTAGGCCCAAATTTGTCGTTTCTCAAAAAGGCAGTTACCTTCTTCCATCGATCATGACTACCAGGTATCAGTTGCCTTACAAATCATATATATTATTCATATACCACACTTATGACCACTGTCAACTTAGTCCCAAGTTCCATAGCTGCCACTGGCTTAGTTATACTGTCGTAAACAACAGATGGCGCTGTCACCAGATGATTTAAGAAGGGTTTTATTGGAAACGTTAACCCTCTACAGACATGTTTCTTTTAAAGGAATTGGGTAACATTGCCTCAGATTCTGAAACAAAATCATGGATTTCGCTCATGCTGCAATGATAATTATAAACCTTTAGGTCAGTCACTGACCCCATGACTTTTACAAGCTGATCGCCTGTCTGATTATCAAGATATTTATGATTGGAAATCAAAATTCAAAAAACGTTTTTTTTATTTTTTTATAACACTACAGTCTATTGGGGAAAATGAATATGGTAAATCCGGTCACTCAAAGATTTTTACTTTTTTGAGGCACTTCATGATTAATGCAATTTTTGTTGGAGCTTCAATATGACACCATATCACAGACACTGATAACATGTTGGGCCATGCATCTCAGATTTAACATTGTTAAACAATGCCTTTAAAGGTAAAGACCAGTATTGGAAACGCCCCAATTTCAAAAAATGAAATGGAAGCTCTCATTACCATGCAATCATGTGAAAGAATATGTTTTGACTAAGACATGATGATAAAAAATTTGCCGGGAAACCGCCTACTAATTCATATATTTGGTAAATTTGTTTCTCTCATGGTCTGTGAGAGATATAGGGTAGTCCCATATACATCTTTCTGTGTATAGTGCTTGTAACTTTACGAAGAATGGGCCAAATTTCTTATCATTTTGATGATTCCAGAACCTTGCAGATGCTAGATGCTAGATGATCAACCTTTTCTGATCGATTCCACAACATTTCTTTCACAATGCAATCGCATGACCATAACTGGTCTTTGCCTTTAACGGTCTTCAATGTGCATTTCATTGGGTTTCAATCCAAGCATACTCCAGGGCCCTCTTTCATAAAACTTGTTATCAATAACAAGTTCCAATAACTGTTATAAGCTACTGAAATCGTGGCCTTTCATTGGCTGAGAGCAAATTTGTCATAGAAATGTAGCGTTTGTTATTGACAACAAGTTTTATGAAACAGGGCCCAGCTTGTATGTCCATGGATTAAAGAGGGATCATATCAGAAGCCACTGCAACTATTATTACATCAATCACTTTATGTCATTGTTTAGATTCTTTAGAATATACATGTATCATATTCTACAGTTTACAACTGCATTATTGATACCCCCTGAAAATTTGATGTTTATTGTGTTTTTCATAACTCAAGAATGTATTTTGCATTTATTAGAAAACTTCAGAATGAAAGGTGGACTGGTTGAATTAGAGCCATTGTTGAATACTGTTTGATCTATTACCTTTAATTTGTCACTTTCTCAAGTCACATAGAATGGGACAACTCAATTTTTCACATACTTGCAAAATTTCAAAACTTGGTAAGGGTATGAATAAATTAGTTGATAACTGTATGTTCCAGAAAACGACATGCATCTATCCTTGACTCTGATAACACCTTTACATCACAATAACCACAAAGGCATCATGCTTACGTACCCATCAGTATACATGTACATATCATATGCTCTGTGAAAATTGTGGAAAGAAAATAGTCATTATTCAACCAAAAGTAGATAGCCATTTGATGACAATTACAAATAAGGAATACAAAAGAGAATATTATAAGTCCTAAAGAAGATATTGAGAGTGAAGAACGAGAACGAGAAAATTTCATAAGGCAAAGAATAGAAAAGAGAACAAGAATAAGTGGTTTTAAGAATAGAAGAAAAGAACTGCCCATTAGAATGAAATGGAGGGGATCAAAAATATTATGCCCTTAAAAGTTGTATGTGCACGTAGTATGCCATTCTAGGTTAATTGCAGTTAAATCATATCGACTGTTTAAAGCCAGAAGGGAGATAAAACTTACACAGTTACTGCCCTTCTGGCTCAAAAGAGTCAACATACATTACTAAAAACGCATTCAAGACTGACCCATCAACATATGAACCCGTTGTGACTTAAAGGGGGTGTAGCATGGCAAATACTGGTTAACGCCATCCACGACTTTTTTTTGACAACTGCACGTAAACGAGTAGATTTGATTAACGGTCAGCGCGCGCTAGTGTTCGCTAAACAGACTGAAGTTCTCCTCACGTTTCGGTTTTGCATATGTTGCACGCACATGAATACTGCGGACGCGTCGTCAGTAGTCATATTATACCTGATTGGCCACAAGTCAGGCCACAGGAAAAACATGTAGTCTCATCATGCTACACCCCCTTTAAGACAATACTTTAAACTTGAAATATCTGTACTCACTCTGTTGAGCTTTGCGGCTGGTTGACGTTTTGTCTGGGTGCTGGCACCGGAGCCTTGCGAACCGATGCAATCGGTATAAGCTGCATCACAGGACCCATCCTCAGGAACATGTTGATACCATTGATATCCCTGCATCAAAAGTGGATTTTAAAAAAAAAGAATAGTGAAATGAGAGTAATATTAATAACATGTCCATTTATATAGCCTAGCTACCAGTTGAATATACTCTACTGTGCTAAATACAAAGTATCACATTATTACCCCAGCTGTAGCCGAGCTGCCATGATAAGGCGCTAATAAAAGCATTCAAGGAATTTCTTCCTACTGGGCACCCATTTGCTTCACCTGGGTGGAGAGTGGCAAATGTGCATTAATGTCTTGTCAAAGGACGTTAGTGTCAGGGTGGGACTTGAACCACAAACCATGCGATCCACAGTCCTCTGACATATCCACTAGACCACGGCACTCATTCCTGTACATTTTGACAATGGGGAAAGTCTTGTGTTTAAGCTTATTCTTCACCAATGACTTACAGGTGGCTCCTGCATTAAAGTGTTCCAATCACCAAAAGATGTTTTTTCTTGAAGGTGCATGTATGTTCTTGCCATCATCACCATCATCGTCATCATCATCATCATCATTATTAATTATTATTATTATTGTTGTTGTTGTTTTTATGAAAATTAGAAAAACTTACCCTCTTGCAGACACCTCCACAGGCTTAGTCTTTGTCTTGGAAGAGGTGAGATAAATCTCAGTGATAGCTTTCTCCGTTGCTTTCCTGTTAAACAGTTGAATGACGAGCAGCTTCTTCTTCAGCACCGGTTCACCTGTAGGCAAACATAGAGAGAAAATGAGAAAAAACGCAATATGAGAGAGAAACAGAGAGAAACCGAGAGAAAGCGTGAGCGAGAGAGAGAGAGAGAGAGAGAGAGAGAGAGAGATAGAGATAGAGAAAACAAGAGAGCAAGGGAAAGAAAAAAAAGAATGTGAAGGGGAACGACAGGCAAGGCAAGAAAATAAAAGAAAGGAAAAAGAGCAAACTCAAAAGAGAAAAGGAAGTCAAATGTAAGAGGAGAGCAATACAGTTTTTAGACATAAGTAGTGAGAGAGAGAGAATACAGAAAGAATTAAAGACAAACAACAACAAAAATGTCTTTAAACAAAATATAGATCACAAAAATGATAGTGGATTTTTTTTTAAATATTTGAACATGACTATTCTCTCAAACAACATTTTTCACAAATGGCCATTAAATTCATACCATTTAAGTTTCAACAATAATAATTTGAAGATCTCTTGGACTTAATTGTTCTTAATACACTACATACATTGTATATTTTCTTGGAAAACATATTTGTCACATTTGGGGGCTAAGCAGTAGCAAAAAGCAGATTTGACAAAAGACTTAACTCCGTTTCGTTGACAATCAGCCATGCATGAAGACTCTCGTCTACGGCTGATTGTCAACGAAACGGAGTTAAGTCTTTTGTTAATTTCGTTTATTGATACGGCAGGCAGCCAGTTAAAAAACGAATTCGTTTAATAAAATTATGGAAATGCAAGCACTACTTTAAACAAACAGAACTTTGTCATTCCTCGCTCATTTTTCCTGATTGAGGTGTCATATGAAAGGGCAGAAACTCAACTTTCTAGAAATGTGAATTTTTCTTCGAAATTCAGATACCGCCTGCCAAATGCCTTTTTGGTTTCCTTCCTTCAAATTGCTTTTAATCACTAATGCGTGAAATATGCATCATCTGAGTAGCATCACATGAAAGAGGAGACTCTAAGCTTTCCAAATATGTATCATTCATTAATTATAGTTGTGATTAAGTTATGATAGAACATCGATACTTCACGGTTTCATTTTTTCTTGGACGCACTGTATATATATTGTGAAGTGCTTTGTAACTGTACAGAAAGGGCAATACACAAGATACTTTGTGGATTGGATTGGGGTAGATGAATAAATTGACAGAACATTACTTGTATCATAGGTGTTTTGTATACAAGTGTAGCCAGACGGGATCGATTCATTCTCCTTGATGACCATGACATCAACCAATACCTTATCTCCAGCCAACTGAGAAAAAAACAAAATATGTCACTAAAACTCTGCGTACCGGTAGGTATTATGTAGTAAGTAAGGCAGTAAGTACAAGGATATGTTCAAAATTAAGCAACTTTAATAAGCAATTGTCACTCGTTACCGCACCTGTTAAAATTATGAAGAAGAGTTTAACCTAATTTTATAAGTCTATTTATTTCATGTTCTGTAATTTTGTATTAAAGCACTATGGTACTTTTTGTTTCTAGCACTCCAAAATGATTAATATTATTATAGTTGTAGTACACTTTAGTACATTCTAGAGTTTGCAGATTTACTTCTTGAAACTCATTCAACTCTTACACATTAATTGTCTTCAAAAAAAGATACCACACTATTTTAAAACATGATAGTAAAACTTACAGGTTTAAGATCCTTGGTGTAACACATGTATCTTGTGATCTTTTTCTTCAAGAATTTATCTTTCCATAGATCGGCATCCTGGTTGTCTGTTGTGGTTTCAATCTGCATTACGATAGCGTTTCAACATTAGAATCAAAATAGATGTATCAAATACAGTCTTACAGGGTTATTTTTCAAACTAAAATTATTATTTCATATGAAAATTGGTTAGATATTTAGATATTTAAAAAATATTGTTAGCTAAAACATCTAAGGATTTTTAATACACAGTAACTGTTCTGTTTATCATTTATCATTAAAATATATGAAACAAACTCCATCAAACTTCAATATTAGAATAAAAATAGATGTATCAAATACAGTCTTGAGTCATGTTGATTACGACAAATCTTAAAGGGTTATTTTTTAAGCTAAAATTAGTATTTCATATGAAAATTGGTTAGATATTCAGTTATCTACCAAAGTTTGTTATCTAAAACATCTAAGGATTTTTAATACACAGTAACTGTTCTGTTCATCATTTATCATTAAAAACTATGAAACAAACTCCATCAAACTTCAATATTAGAATAAAAATAGATGTATCAAATACAGTCTTGAGTCATGTTGATTACGACAAATCTTAAAGGGTTATTTTTAAAACTAAAATCAGTATTTCATATTACAATTGGTAAGATATTCAGTTAATTACCAAATATTGTTATCTAAAACATCTAAGGATTTTTAACACCGGTACAGCATTAACTGTTCTGTTAATCATTTATCATTAAAAAATATGAATCAAACTCCATCTTTAAAAGCTGCTGGGACCTTAATAATACCCTTAAATCATAGAACAGTTTTAATATTGTGGTGACGCCAAACACAATGTTTTGTATATTATATTATATTAAATCATTCATTTATTGCAACCATAAGTTGGATTTCATAAAACCTGGGGGTGTTTCACAAAGATCCTAATTAGAACTTAACACTAAGTTGGACCTATTCCGCATTCAATTTCATTACCTTTTATTTTCTTCATTTAATTTGAAGTACTTGATTTCAATAAAAATGTGTACTGCATCTTTCATTTCAAGTAAGCCATGTGTTGTTATTCATTAGATTCTTGGTAAATTAGTCAATGACTAGCACAGTAAACATAAGGGGGTTATCAATATTAATTACAAAATGTATTGTCAATAATAAATCGATAGTTGATACATTAGTTCGATTTATATCCCAAACTGCTCAGAGTTACATATTCTTTTATTTATTTCATTTCTTTATTTATTTCTGACATTTACACAGGGTAGCATATTTCCACCAATAGTGGTGGTCTCTCATGAGGCCCTGTCTGGTAACAACAAAATGCATTACCAGTTACGAATATAAGTACAACAGTAACAGAACAAAATACAGAAGAAATACAGTATACAAATTTGTTGGTATCCCCATAATAAATGTAGAAGTTTTTTAACAAAATACTGTAGCATATTTGTAAAATTGTATTTTATGTATAGACGGTAATTTGCTTTTAATTCATATGAAATATATATGAAAAATTGTATAATTTTATTTCGGAATGCCATTAACAGAAAAATCTCGTGAAACTCAAACAGACATGCAACTGCTGTATATACATACCACTGTGTATCCATCTGGGCATCTATTCTTATCAGCTACAATACAAATGCCTGTAATTGGATAATCCGTCATTCTTACAAACTGAAAAAAAAGTAGAAAGATAATACAATAATAATTGTGTCTGTGAAAATGTCACTATTTTCACTTGTAATTTGACTAGCAAGAATTTCAGACGTTTTCTCATGTTTAATTAACTTTAAGAAGTTTTCTTATTTTCATCTTAAAGATTACATGTGTTTCTTTAAGGACACCTTAGAATATCCAGGACCTGTGGGGAAAAAGTAGGTTACAGTAAAGTTCATAGCCACATCAAGACAGAGAACGGACATGTTTGTCCACCGTCCTAAAAGATAAGGATTGTCCGCATTTTTGCGGATGATTTTTTTTCTTCGGCGGTCTACGGGTATGGGGATCCAGATCAGCGCACTGGCGATGCGAAAAACAGATTCTGCGTAATAAAATACCACCAGTTCACTGTCTACTTTTGAAATTGGTCCGGCTTCCCGAGGTTATATTGTTCATAATGTGAAAGTCTCTGCGCTGCGTCACTGAGAAATGCATGTGGTGTGTGTATTTGTGTATGGGTCTAATAATACCTACCTCACAGCAAGCATGCAGTGCTAGAGGTCACTACGTATTAGCATTGACTCTCTATGCTTTGCTGGAGTGGCGCTTATTGGCATGGCCCTACCATCTGTCCTGTACTTCAACCAGCCCGAAAAATACATGGGGGCAGAGGGCGGATTCGCCCCGGAAACACCATAAACAGCCCCCGAAATAGGCTCAAAATCAGATTTTGGGGGCGACATCAACAAGTGAAATGATCTTAAATTGCCCCCGTAACGATTACGAGTGGCCGCGCGCTCTCTTCTAGCTTTGTATTCATTGTGTGCATTTCTTGGTCCGCACGCTGAATCTCCGTGTAAAATTGTATACCCAAAAATCGGTCGTAAAAAAAAATGGAACCCTATTCCATACCTTACCTGGCTAACCGAGTCGCACGCAAGTATGCCAAAACACATTTTGGCAGTCGATTTTGTTTTGGTAGATCATATTAGCTGAACCTAGACCTAAACATTGCGAAACTGCAATCAATTTCCATCACAAATTCACGATTGCCGCAATTTTATAAAGTTTCCATAAATAGAGGTATGAAATTAAAGCCTATTTTGTGATTATTCTCGCCATGTTTACGTAATTTTAATAATCATTTCTTCAAAGTAAAGAAAATCAGACAAAATCACTGTGACTGACACGCATACAACACAGTGCATTGCCGCTGTGCGGTGTTTGTCAGTTGAGCTGAGCTTAGATCTAGTTATTGAACTAGAAAAAGGGGTTTCTTTTTTAAAGGTAAAGACCAGTATTGGAAACGCCCCAATTTCAAAAAAATGAAATGGAAGCTCTCATTACCAATCATGTGAAAGAATATGTTTTGACTAATACATGATGATAAAAAATTTGCCGGGAAACCGCCTACTAATTCATATAGATTTTAGTGCTTGTAACTTTACAACGAATGGGCCAAATTTCTTATCATTTTGATGATTCCAGAACCTTGCAGATGCTAGATGCTAGATGATCAACCTTTTCTGATCGATTCCACAACGTTTCTTTCACAATGCAATCGCATGACCATAAATTAACTGGTCTTTACCTTTAATAATAATACCTAGACCTAGGCAATTATGAAGCAGGAAGCCCGAAACCTTAGCCTACTAAACAAATCTTAACAAACTGTAGGCCTATCCTTTTATGAATTAACGAAAAAGTAGCCCCAGAAAAAAGAGCCCCAGAAAATTTCCCAAAAATTTGAAATGAAATGGAGCCCCAGAAATGAAAAACTTAATTTTTTGCGTGACTTTAACGCAACATACCCACCCATCCACACACAAAAATCAATCAGCTTGTGGTAACAAATTACTAGATCTGTACACTGCCTTTTAAGACTGGAGTTCATATATTAAATGACGCCTCTAGTCTAAACAAATCTATGTAGGTCAAGATAGGCCTACATCAATTTACACGAGTGGGTCTGACTCTGAGTCTGATGCCGGTTACACTTACAATACAACTTTACAATTCAAAGACTCAAGAGTCAACATCGATTCTATACTAAATCTACATGAATATTCCATATAAAAATATGCAGATCGGTTTAATAAATTCGCCTATATATTTATAACATCCAATCCTTTGAAAACAAACAAGTAAATGTATCTTACCAAAGCCAAAGGTGCTCCAGGCCAGGAAATTGATTGCTGATTAGCCTATTAGAAAATACCTAAAAATAAACTCTAGAAGTAGTAGTCTTAAGTCAATGCACTGGGAAATCAACAGTGCTCTGCTCTTGAACTGAACTGAAAATTTATCTTCCATAAGAATATACAACCAAATATCGTTTAAGCTAGGTACTACTAATAGATGAATCTGACCTTAATTTGTGAAAATTAGGTTCAAAATCTTAACACTATATAATCAAAAGTTGCAATTTAGTTGGTCACCGTCAGATTTATAAGACTAGCGATCCCGGCCCCCCCCCCCCTTCCCCACTCAGTGTTATTTAGGGTACGCATATGCTTGTTCCCTCTTTTTGAAAGCACCCCCTTTCTGAGGACTGCCAACATTTCCAAACCCCCCTTTCGCGGGATTTTCGCGGGCTTTTCCTGCCTTGGATACCCCCCTAAATCATGAAAAATGCTCAATGTAACCCCCTAATTTCGGAATAATTTCTCAGGAGTCCTAACAGCTAGATGAGAGAAAAAAAGAAAAAACACCCCCTTTTTAAAGAAATCTCCGGGTGAAAAGTTAATACACCCCTTTTTTAACAATTCTCGGCCGGACTTTGTCGCACGAAAAGAACCCCTTTACCGGACATTTAGGTAACACGCATGGGGTCCGTCCGTTCTCGGAGTGGGGGGGGGGGGGGCGGGCTAGCAATCGGACATAATTTTGTTGATCTCTAAGATTCAAAGATAGAGAATTGATTCTCTATCTTTGAATAAAATAAATTTCTATCAATAAATAAATAAAATAAATTAATTAATTAATTAAATGAATTAAACTTCAATATTTTAATTTACTATGTCTAGGAGAATTCCGAATTTGTTTTTCGGTTTATTGTTTTTTCTTTCTTATGCCTGTTACATGTACTCTTTTCTAAGTGCCATGAGCACCGAAAGGTGAACCTGTGCGCTATACAAGTAGCCACTATTATTATTATTATTATTATTATCTAAAAAAAAATAATTAAAACCGGCGAAGTTCCAAGAGAACTCCCTCAAGGATTTTTATTTCAATTGTTTTAACTATTATTTGTAATTTATAATGATTTTTGTTCTCATATTGATTAGATCTATAGGTAGAGATAGAAAAAGATAGAGATATGAGAAAGAGAGAGGGGAGAGAGAGAGAGAGAGAGAGAGAGAGAGAGAGAGAGAGAGATAGAGAGGGTGGAGAGAGGGAGAGGCCGGTCGAACAATTACAAGGAGGAGGATGTGAGAGATGGAGAGGGGAAATATCTAGGGAGGGATTGGATTTTTATTTCAATTGTTTTAACTATTATTTGTAATTTATAATGATTTTTGTTCTCATATTGATTAGATCTATAGGTAGAGATAGAAAAAGATAGAGATATGAGAAAGAGAGAGAGGGAGAGAGAGAGAGAGAGAGAGAGAGAGAGAGAGAGAGAGAGAGAGGGTGGAGAGAGGGAGAGAGTCGAACAATTACGAGGAGGAGGATGTGAGAGATGGAGAGGGGAAGTATCTAGGAGCTAGAATTAACAATAAACAAACAGAGGATCGAGGGAATTAACGTGTAAAAAGAAGTATATGGGAAGTGAGTTTGATGTCTGATACAGAGTGGATCGAATATGGCTGTGACTTAACTCCTTAATTTGTGATTCAGTCATCAAAGATATCTCCTTTTCATGCCCTTACAAATTATACCATGGTACTCTTTAAAGAGTACCATGGTATACGTAACCATTGTTTTTTGGTCCAAATTACCATCCACCATGGTTATCGTGCTCAGTTAATTTGTAATAATATTCAATCAACAAATAATGAGAGTATCACAATTATATCTCCTTAAAGTCCTTTGCAATCATCAATTATCACTTCAATAGTATCATAGGACCACACTAAAACAAGATAACTAATTATTTGCAAAGTAGTTTTTTTAAGGGGGACGGGGTCTATGAATGAATTTTAGGAACACATTTTGATCCAAGACTACGCGGAACACACTGATTCGGCCCCAAGTATATCGACCGCTGTAGAGCACGACTAATAATATCGAAGTTTTGAAATACATTTCTTTATCAAATGAGATTTAAATCATATTTTACTGTATAACTAAATAAAGACGTAAATTATCGATACATTTACTCACGCTCACATTCGTTTAAAAGTTAAAACCTTAGAACTAGAAATGGGTCGATTCTTATAATTTGAGTTGTGGTTGGTCGACAGTTTGGACGTTTAGTGTCCTCTCATGCTAACTCTTCTCTTCTCTCTTTCTACTGGAAGTTCTAGCTACAGTACAGGTCTACAGACAATCAAAAAAAGAAAATGGCTTCACTTGTACGGTGTATCTTTGGAGCAAGGCTGTACAGAACGAATTCTCATGGAACAGTTAAGGTAAACATCACAGTATTCTATATTTCTTTCTAAAAAAAATTGTAATAGACTGTGCTGTGATGTGAGCAAGCATTTTATAAGGATGTCCCACATACCGCATTTTGTGTTTGTAAAAATATGGTTAGACAAATTTTAGAGCAATTATTGAATAGTAGCATTAGTGCTACTATTAGTAGCCCTAAGGGCGAGGTGATAATATTAAATATGATATTGATATCACTCAGCCTTAATTGGCACCCATACTGTTCTGCGTAAAGAGTGATGTAAACAAATCTAAAATGCATTCCTAATCACCCATACCGCACCCGATGAAACTTGCACATGCACACTGGCTTCAACAGTAGGGGCGCTGGCCGATGGTCCGAGAATTTAGATCGTCTTCGTTAATGCGGAAAGATGTGTCCTAAAACATAAGGATTGTCCGCATTTTCATGGACAATCCTTATATTTTAGGACGCGATTTGTCCGTGTTTACGAGGATATCCACGTTTTTGTGGACGATCCTCATTCTCGGACCAGCTCGGACTGTTCAAAGTTTGCTTTTTACTGAAAATGTGAGTAAATATCATATTTTCAGCAATATTCTAGACCCTTCGCCATCATCTCCTACACCCTTTAAGTCCTACCTGTAGGTCATTATGCACATATGATTGCTGATTTTGTTTAGATATGCCAGTTAATGATTGATCTTTTGTAATCTTTATTATTCTTTAGGGTCATGATTACCAACCCAATTCTGTTGAGAAGCACAGTGACAATATCATCAAGCTGGTAAGTTAGTTAGAGGTTGAATGAGCCACTTTGAAGATACTGCATGTGCTCATGGGCAGATAAAGGTAGTTTGTACAAAACTGTAATACCCATCAAGATGATTAATGGATATGGTTCATGAAAGTTATGTAATCATTTATGCACCTGCAGTACATTCAATGATACACAGGTGGATTTTTTTTTTTCTTCAAGAGGGCACACAAAAGGTATTCATGAAGCAGCTCCATCACTTTGGCAGTGATTATTCGAAACTGCACAAAGTGGGAAGTCTCTATGTGTAAAAGATCTGTAGATATATGGGGGTCATTTGTACAAGTGCCATCTCCGAGGTGGCTTATTGTATTGAAGAATTGTTATCATACATATGAAGACAGTATCAGAGATGCTCTCCAATTCAAAACATTTCCCTTTCACAGTACATAATGACATAAAAACAGTTGTTTTGAAAGAAAAATTAAAGAGTATCTGAATTATTGGGATTTGGTCATTGTTCATTTGTACCATGAAATTATGTTTTTTGGATTAACTGTTTCATTCACTTAGAGGAAATTTAAAATGTATGTGATAAAAAGAAAATGCTTTTGAAAACATTTTTATTTTTCCTAATCCTCCCCCCCCCCAAAAAAAAAATTGTTTTGGCAATATTACATTTTATTGTGGTTTAGAACTTTGTGGAATATGATGATCCCTATCAACTAAAGAATGGAAAGAAGGAATACAAGATCTTTTTCCTTCCTATTTTTATTTTATTTTTATCTTTTCAGATTTCATTTTGCTGGTCATTTGGATACTACACATCTCCAATAATCTTAACGATCTTGTATCGAAGAGGTAAGAATCTTCAGGGGTCAACAAAAAATGACACACAATACAGATTTAATGCCATAAATAAAAAAAGAAATAAATTAAGGCCATAATGTTATTGAAGAAATATCAAATTAATTATTTGTCAACCAGATAAGATTGTCATCTTGACAGAAAGCTGTTTTAACAGTAAAATATGTGAAATTTTATTTACAAGCAGAATCTAGAATATGTATATTGAAAGATTCTAAACAATCGGTATATAATTTTTAATGAATTATGGAACTAGTGATAATTTCTGAAATGTAGCCATTTATTTTTTAATCAAAAAAAAAATGAACCAAAACAAACAAACGGACATAAGACTTCCAAAGAGGTGTCGTAGTCGAGTGGTTTTATCACTTGACTGGAATTGCAAAGGTTGTGGGTTCTAACCCCGGCATGGCCCTTATGTCTTTGAGCAAGGCATTTCATCTACATTTCTCCTCTCCTGGACACGAATATCGTTGTGGTTGGATCAGCATGTGCACGCCTATAAAAAGGCGACTAGCTGGAATGCTCCCCAGGGAGTGGAGAATGTACCGTAAAGTGCAGAATTGTAGTTGAAACCAGTGACAGGGGTAATAACAATACTACAAGCATCCTTGAAGAGGTTCATCTGATTGGTAGTAATTCAATCTATGGAATACTGCGAGCACTTTGGTCAGATGATAAAAGAAAAGCAGTATATAAGAAACTGGTATTATTATTGTTTTTATTATCATAATGCCTTAATTGATGCATATTTGTGTGATAAATTCAATGTTTTCAGGTTACTTCAGCCTGGATGGGGCTTTGAGTCTTGGAAAGTTTGGTGGCATGGTACTACTTGCATTATGTGGAGCCTACTATGTTCGAGGTAATTTCTTAGATATTGAAATTTGAATTACAGGACTGGCCTAATGAAAAAAGACTAGCATACTTTCAAAAATACCTCCAATTTGTTTAAAGTTGTAATCACTATACGTATATTTCAAATTGGCCGAATCGATCATGTCACTCTGATGTAGTGCGGGACAACTTTCCTATTTGTTCCAACACACACACTAACTAAAATTTATGATTCGGGAGAGTCTTTTCTTTCTATAGGACCTATTTATGATTCAGGAGAGTCTTTTCTTTCTATAGGACCTATCGTAGTGTGCTATCCATAATACATTTTGAGTAGTGCCCCAAAGGAGAAGGCAATGTGCAGAAAAAGACAAATCAATGATATTTTTGTACACGATGTATGGGAGAGTTGTCCATAAATACGTCACAATCCACTGACAAAATTGCGAATTTGAGATTCGTATAGCTTTTGATAGTGATTATTTCAAACATTAAAAACTCTCCTATCATTAATCCGTTTTATTTTAAACTTTCGCCATTCTGTTTATCTGATTTTTCTGCTTCCATACAAAGTGTACATACAAAAGTTGGATAGCCCTTTAATAATACAACAGAATGAAGTGTATGTCTTAGAAAGAAATAAATATACAAATCAGACACCCCATCTTTGACCCCAGTCAAACTAACAACAACAATGACCAAAGAAATAAGTTACGGTACTTCCCCTCAAATGGCCAAGATTTGTTGACATGGGTAATAAAGAAAGAAAAAAATAGATAGAATCATTTAATACTACAGTCTCAAAATTTAAAATAAAACATGGCATTTTAAAGCAGAACAAATATCTTATAAACTGGTCTCTCAGTGTTAATTGGGTATTCTCTCAATGATGCAGGACACTATGAAAGATTGTTTCTGATTAATGTTTTTTTTTTTTTAATTCAGGTTTAGGAAGAGTTAGTAATCCAGAGTATGGTACTTTCATCAGTCTACTGGATGAGATCAATAGGAATGAACAGAGTGAGAAGAGGGTGAGTAAGACTTATCTTTCTCATTAATACAGTGAAACCTGTATATAAAGACCACTCGTGGGAGACTAGAAAAGTGGTCTTTATAGGTACGGTAGGTGGTCTTTGAGTACAAGTTCTTTTAGTACATGTTTCAATGAGAAACTATCTTCAAGGGAAACAAAAAATGTGGTCTTCCTAGACTAGTGGTCTTTCTGTACAGGTGGTCTTTAAAGCAGGTTTGACTGTATACAAATCTGTCTGAAAAGGCCACCGCGAACCTGTCCATAATAATATGATAATAATAATATTCCGCTTTTATAGAGCGCCCAATACATCGATACAAAGATGTGTCTTGTGCTTTACAGATATAGATGAAGGCCACCTCGGGGAAACGGTAAAGGTAGCCACTGTAGAGAGGTGGCCTTTCTAGACAGGTCTTACAACAGATTCTTCTGAGACATAGACTGTTCTATACTACTGAAGACACGTGGCTGTTACAAAGAGATGGCCGCCATGATAGTTTATCGTGCTATTCATGATGATTTTAATACCAAATGGTTACCAAAAAGAATAATGATAATAACAATTTGTGAGAAATTTGGATATGGACATATTTGCATTTGATTTCTAAGTAAGATATTTCACTGTAACAAAGGTATTAAACTTCATGCTTGTTTCAGTCAGTGTTGCAATGAGTCTTGGATCAATTGATCAAATACTAAATACTTTTGATTTTTTTTTTTTTTTCAGAAAGAGTTGCAGATCTATGATTTCGAATTCGCTGCTTGGCCAGTCGATTATCAGTGGAGTGAAAGGTATATAATGAATACACACATGCAATGTTTATTTTTAACAATATTATCATTGTATTTTTGTGAAACAATAGGCGGTGATACAATGACAGTTAACTCTCAATAACTCATAGTCACACAAGTCCAATCAATTTTTTGTACCAAACTCATGCAAGATATGTGTTATTTACACTTTCTAAGTTTTATTTGCAGTCCCAACAGTTTTGACTTGTGCTGCAGAGTTAATTTTATTGAGAGTTAACTGTACATGTCATTTGTGAGAAATTGATTATGCGCCGCTAAAGCTATATGACTTGCAAAGTAATGACCATCTTTTGTTATGCCTCTAGTTATGGGGAATATGAGTGTTACTGTAGCACAGTTCTCCTGACTATATTGTGTTTGATGTTCAGGAATTTAAAAAAGGACAAGCTTTAAAATTCTTAAATTGGCAGAGATTGCATTGTTTATCAATAAAATTTGGCAATTTTTCTACTTTTTGACAACATTCTTGCCAATGTATATTGTGTTCAGATACATTGAATTTTATTTTAACGAGATAGCAATAAGAGAAAATATTATTGTTGCCAATTTTGAAGAACAATATGTGATCAATTTTAATAGCCCTAAAGATAAACCCTTTCCTGAAAGGGTAACTCTTCATACAGAAACATGAGTTAACTATAAAAATGAATGCAGTGTGTGCAGTAATTGATCCTCATGCTAATGAACCCCATACAGTCCGCTCACACCTTATTGTAATCGGCTTATTTTCATTTGCTACCATTCAGTGCCAGCCAGCCGCTGTGGAAGGACCAGTCCTCTCCAGGCTCCCAGAGATCCCGGGGTGCTGTTGAATGGCTTGGTGGGTTGCCATGCCAACTGCTTGGTTACCTGGCCATTCACAGCTTTGGGTGCAGGATAGTGTATCCAGGAAGCACAGCTCTGCTCAATGCAGCGATAGGTATGTAAAAATCCTGTTATCTTTTACAGGTCTCCACTTCTTATCTCCATTTGCTCAGACGATGAAATATTTCATGAATTGTTCCTTCCTATTCTGAAGCTCTTCATTCATTCTGAGATCATTCATTGATTTCCAACATTTTATTCAACTACTGTCATCTCAGCTTTCTGTCATACCCTTTCAGTCTACCATGTGCCTTCTTTCCTCTCTCTCTCTCTCTCTCCAATTCATCTCTACTCTTTCCCACCTTTTCTTTCTCTCTTCCCGCCTCCTATTCTCATTTTCCGCCTCCTCTTCTCTTTCCTCTAGTTATCTTTCTCTCTTCTGGAATTGATCTTAGAAAGTATGTCGAAAGTACAAAGTAATATCTTTATAACGCTAATCGTTCCTTACATTTTCCATAGATCGTGCAATTCTTTTTTTGGTGTGTTTGTTTATCTGAACCTACGCGCATCAATTTATTCAATGTTATTATTACGCCTCTGACTTCATTTAGTATTATTATTGTTCAGTTTAAAATAAAAATGTGTTATATTCTTATTTATAGATTGCAGCTACTTTAAAAATATCCTCAATTGCACTGAATTGGAAACAAAACTTCCAACAGTGCTACTTTCAGACACACACTTAAAAAAATACAAAATCTCCTGAAAACAAGTGCGTCTTTCACGAAACTTTGAAGACAGCAACAGATGAGGTGTTTGTTATGTCTAATGGTAGAGAGACAAGAAAAGTGGTCTTTATTGGCAGGTGGTTTTTATTTACAGGTTCCTCTAGTACATTTTTCAGTGAGAAACTATTTTCAAGGGAAACACAAAATGTGGTCTTTGTAGACGAGTGGTCTTTCTATACAGGTGGTCTTTCTATACAGGTGGTCGATAAAAGCAGGTTCAACCGTACTTCTTTCACCCTTCTATGTCCTCTCCCTGTTCCCCTGTCCACTCAGGTTCTCAACTTCTTCTCGGGAGGATGAAACTGGTTGAGAAGGACCACGGGAAGAGAGCTAAACTCAGGACCAAGGATGGCAACTCTATCGACACCATGTTTGTAGACAGGAGACTCAAGACGGTATTCCCCAATGGACAAAAACTGGTACGGTATTGAAAGAATACATGAACAGTAAAACTTGACATTTGATGTACCTCTTCAAGATAAAGTTGAGGTCTGGGCATGCGATTGCAATGTGAAAGAAACGTTGTGGAATCAATCCAAAAAGGTTGATCATCTAGCATATAAGTATTGGTGTGTACCTCAAGGTTCTGGAATCATCAAAATGATAGGAAATCTGGCCCAGTCTGGGTGAAGTTACAAGCGCTGTACACAGTAAGATGCATATGGGACTACACGAACATGTGGCATAAAAATCTGGCCCGATTGTTATGATGTTACATGCCTTATTTAGAATATTAAGGCATTTGAAGAGCCATGCTTTTCAGAGAACATTTTTTATCTGATGTTCTTCCACACTTGCATAATAGAATGATAACGCTCGCAAATTATTTTTCACCTCTTCCCAGATTTCAACCTTCTCTTTAAGACCAGGGTTATTTGTTTTTCTATATTTTCTTCTTACTCGTCCGTTTGCCCATGAGATGACAGATAAAAGTTTTTTGAGGTTCATTTTATACATTCGTGCTATACACAAATTATATATTAGGTGGTTGGTACACTTTAAAATCATCTCTTATGCCGTCTTATTTTTTGCTATGTAGGTGATTACGAGTGAAGGAAATGCAGGATTTTACGAGATAGGGTGCATGGAGACACCCCTCAAAGGTGAGTTGTTGTTGTTTACATGATGAGTTCTTTTGATGAACTTGATCTTGACCTTGTAAAAAGAACTTTGATTATCGCTGATAAATAAATTCTGATATTAATAGGCTTACTTTAGCATGCACACAGAGATAAGTGCACTTACCTCTAGACGCACGTATGCCCAGTGCTACGCAAGTATAGGCCCACACACAGTAACAGCACTAACCTCTGCACGCACTCGCGCGCATCATGTACTTAAAATGTGTTGGATAGTACTGGAAACTATTGCATGCTTTTTCATTGAAAACGTGGGATAGTCTCAGTAAATTAATTACATGTGACCACGTTTTACCAATCAATTGATTAGGATCTAGGAGTGAGTTGGATGTGATAGAATTTAATTAAAGAAAGTGATTTTTTTTTCAAATGATGAAGGACATAGTGTAACAAGGAAGTTATAGTTGCAAAGAACTTGTATGTGGTAGATGTAGCTAGATTCAGAGAGTTATTTTACTGATGAGGACTTTTGTGAATTCTCGTTTTGCTAAACCCGAAAGATTTTCTCTCTGTTTTGTAGCTGGATATTCTGTGCTTGGATGGAACCACCCTGGATTTGGAGGGAGTACCGTAAGTTCATATCCTCCTCCTCTTCTTAAAAGTAAAGACCAGTTCTGGTCATGCGATTGCATTGTGAAAGAAACGTTTTGGAATCATCAAAATGATAAGAAATTTGGCCCAGTCTTGGTAAAGTTACAAGTACTGTACACAGAAAGATGTATATGGGACTACGCGATAAATTATTATATCTTTCCGGACTGGATAGATATAATAATTTACCAAAATTATCAATTAGTAGGCGGTTTCCCGGAAAAATTTGTATGATCCCGTATTAGTCAAAACATATTCTTTCACATGATTGGTAATAAGAGCTTCCATTTCATTTTTTGAGAGGGGGGGGGGGGCATTTCCAAACTGATCTATATCTTTAAACCCTGTCTGTACTTACTTCTTCATCTTTGCTTCTCTTTGTCACTTTAATTATCCTTCCTTTATTGTTCTCCCATCAGTATCTTCTATTCATTTGATTGCTTTAACGTTCTACTCTGATCAGACCACCTCAAGAATGAAAGGCGGACTGGTCAAATTAGGGCGGTTAGATGTAACCTTCAATGCTTCACATTCTCAAGAAACGTAAATGGGTACAAATTAATTTTTCACATACTTAAAAAATTACAAAACGTGGTATTAAAGGGTATGAATAATTTTGTTGTATGTATATACACATCAAATGTAGTAGGCAAATATTTTTTTTAATTTGAACTACACTCTTGGTCAGCTGGGTTTGCACCTATTTCACAAAGCCTTTTTTCAATGACAAATGACAAAATTCAGTGACAAATCTGCTAATGACCAATCAGAAGCAAGGATTTCAGTAGCTTATAACAAAAACTGTTATTTGTCATTGATGACAAGTTTTGTGAAACTCCCCCTTGATGTATAATCTCTTGGAAATATTGACAATAAATCTCCCCTCCCAATTCTCGCCACATCCTTATTTTAGGGGTCACCGTTTCCCGAGTCTGAAGGCAACGCCATTGCAGCGGTTATGCAGTACGCAGTGGACGAGCTTGGCTTTGCGTACGATGACATCAGTCTGTTTGCCTGGTCTATAGGAGGATTCGCTACGTCATGGGCGGCCATGAATTATCCGCAGCTTTCATTTGTTGTAAGTTGCTTCTCGGTTTGTTTGTTTTTACCAAAGTGGTAGGGTGTTGAGTTTGTTGCTTTTGGTTTTGCCTCTGATGGGGAACATCAACTGTTTGAGGATGATAATGGAAAATGAAAAGAATTACAATGATGAAGATGGTGTTTATGATGAAAGTGATGGTGATGATAAAGGGGATGAGGAGGAGGAGAAAGATCATGATTGTGATGAATATGATAGTATGAATATGAATTATCCACAGCTTTCATTTGTTGTAAGTTGCTTCTCGGTTTGTTTTTTAACAAAGTAGAAGGGTGTTGAGTTTGTTGCTTTTTGGTTTTGCTGCTGATGGCGGACACCATCTGTTTGATGATGATAATAGAAAATGAAAAGAGATACAGAAGAAGCTCCTTGATGTGTAGTGATGACAATGATGAAGATGGTGTTTATGATAAAAGTGATGATGATTATAATAACGGTGATGAGGATGATGAGGAGGAGAATGATCATGATTGTATTGAATGTGATAATGATCATGATCACAATCTGTTATTAAACATGACTGTGTTAAGTTGGGGTTGTTAAACAAAGCCATGATAACCACGGTCGCAACAGACATGGGGGTTCACCAAATTTAAGTTTATCTCTTTATGGCCCAAATTTATAAATGACGATGTAACACTGGTTGAATTTCAAGCCTATTAAAGCCCCACTACACTAATTTGGCCAGGAGGGATTAGACCTCACTGTAAGGTCACTGACAGGTGGTTACCTCATCAAATCAAATCTCAATTAACATAAGAAAAATGGGATCATGGGGGACCAACGGGCACCAATTAGGCATTGTTTACCCTATAGAGGGCACAGAAGTGCAGTGGGGCTTTAAAGTGACCCTTATCATCGTACTGCAAAAGCAACAGCGCCAGCTACGACATAGGTCTGAAGAATCTGCAGCACGGCAAGTTAAAGTTTACCAAAACAGGGTGTTTTTTCACTGATTGTGAAGAAAGAACTATTTCTTTTCAAAAGTTTTATTTCTATTTTGATGATAACTTGACTTTTTTATCTGTTTGTTTCCCCTTATAGATTGTAGATGCAACGTTTGATGATCTTATACCTCTTGCTATAGCTAAGATGCCGCAAAGTTTGTGTAAGTAATTTCTATTCAGTCAAAACATTGTTATTATACGTCCATGAGCTCGAAAAGTCTTGATGTTATGTAATGTTTGGTTATGTTTATTCTCTTGATGTTGTTCATTTCAATATTAATAAAGCACTAAAATACTTGTGATACATTAATTTAAAGCATACTGTTCCTTTCTACTACATGTTCATACATGTACAAAGAAAAAAGAAAGAATTAATATTTCTTGTAGTACAGTACTGTCTAAGTAAGAAGGAATGTTTACAGGCAAAGATTCCAAAGATATTTAGAAACATGATTAGAAATTTAGCTTACAGTTATAGCTATTAAGTATATGTAGAACAATTTTAAAATGTATGGTAGTGCCTCAAATCAAGTCAATCGCTAAATATCTTTTTGTAGCAATAGGAAATCATGTTTTTGAAGTTTAATCTCTCTGAAGATTCGTAATCACATCCAGAAAACTGTTAATACTGTATACTGCGGTACCTGACTGACATGGCATTATAGAACCTGTGTATCAGTGATATACTTTTCGATTTATTGTTGTTGTTTGTTTGTTTTTTCTTTAGCATATTTTGTTGCTTCAACAATAAAGACATACATGAACATGAAGATAGCAGACAACCTTAGCAAGTAAGTTGAAATAGAAAACACAATATTCATGGAACTTTAGTTGAATCATGAATGGAAAAATGATTGTAATAAATTATTGGTCAGATAAATTGCTGTTTTCATTTGCTGACAAATTTAACTGGTGTGATGCACTTAAATTGTTTTTTTCTTATGCTGTTTTTTGTTCTATTATAATATGTGAAAATGTTGTGAAAGAAAGAAATAAAATGAACCTTGAACCTTGAACCTTGATTAACAAACTGCCACAAAGGGAAATATTTTTAGATATTTAAAAGGACTCTTTCCTAGCTATTTTTATTTGTTTTATTACTCATGTTACTATTCTATCTGTCTATTATGAAGGGATAATTTTTTTAAAGTTTTCTGAAGAATTTCTATGTTTTCATGTCTCCTATTTGCTTTTTGTTTGGTGCAGCTACAAGGGTCCCCTGAGGATAGTTAGAAGAACAAAGGATGAAATCATTATAACATCGTAAGTAGTTGAAGGCTCATTCAGATATGACCCGGTAAACCGCCGCAAAATATTACAACTTTTTTTTTCACTTGTAAATGAATGACAAATGCAGGTAACAGAGATCGTTCCGAGTATCGACTGAGTTCTGTGCTATAATGTGTTAGATGAGCAAGTGTGCGCTTGCAAAAATGACGCCTGGCAGGAATGCTCCCCAGGGAGTGGAGAATGTGCATACATTGTGTGTGGTTAAGCCTGAATCCGATGACCGGGGTAATAATATATCTGTAAAGCCCATTTGAGAGGGCCTGCGGTCCTGAAATGCGCTATAAAAGAACGAACTATTATTATCATTTATAAGATACAGAAAAGCAATGTGTATTACACTTCACGTCTTTATTAAAGACCGCCATGGTTTTACCACGTCATATCTCAACAAGACCTTCGATCCTAGATGTCAATGAAATTATTGATAGCTATGTTTAACAGCTTCAAAATATGGAAATTAATACCCTTTCATTCATACAGTTCAAATTATGAAGGGATTATTTTTAACTGGAAATTGTTGCAGTGTGTATTTTAAATTTTGAATGTTCTCATCAATTTCTTTTCAGACAAATTAGTTCATTGCTGGCTTCCCGAAGTTCGCACAGGAAATTCATTCAATTCAATCCAGCAATTATGTCAGATAAAATAATGTTTAGAATATTCGTACAAATGGAAATGGTTTCTAAAAATTTGAATTGTAGGTCAATTGGAATCTCTGTATGTGCTGTCTGAAAGAAAAAAATGTTTCCTTCATAATCCCAAAAGGATGTACCGGTATTTAAGATATTTTCCTGATCGACTCTTTATACATTTTTTTTCTTTCAGTGAATTTCCTGATGTAGCATATAACAGAGGGAATGATCTCCTAATCAAGATATTACAATCAAGGTATAGATTATGTGTGTATTGTTACATGTTGTCTTGAGCAATCGCATCGCTAAAAAGCACATGTTTTTAGCGTGTGTGTATGATCATTTCAAGTGATTATTCTTTTCATCTTTTATTGTTTGTTGATATTAATTAAACTCTTAAATATTGGTAAGATTGTTTGGATTTGTTGGTAAATGATCACATGATGAACTGTATATCTATCTATACCACATGTATTATGGTACGATAGCAGATGTTGAGATAAAACTATTGTTATTGTTGTTCTTATTTAGTTATTATTATCATAATTATTTGAAGCTAGAGGAAAACAGTTCCACAATAGATGATGTACAATGCACAGAACCAGGTGTTGGTGATTCAAATCTAAAAAATCTGTCTGTATAATGCATCTTGCATTTTTTTCCCCTTTTTTTTATAAATTAAAGAATTGAATAAGGAAACAATATACATGTAAATTATGATGCAGTTTAGATCAAAATCATGATATCATTAGATGTTTTACACCTTTGAAATTTGTTACAGGTATCCAAAGCTGTTAGATGAAGAGGTGACAAAAGTTTTGAGGCAATTCATCAGCATTACAGATCAACTAAGCATGTGTAAGTACTGTAGTCTACCTATCAATGACATTTTTTCTGTGTATTGTTTTTAAAATGTAGTAAAAAGACCTGAAAGGTAGGAAATAATAGACTATTCGACTACAACTGTGGAAATGCATGTTTTTTTATATTTCTCTGACATTTTGTAATCATAAATATTTGAGCCAAGATTAGACTAATTTAAGATGATGTAATGTTTGTTATATACCTCACTTAAGAAATCCAGCTATCTGATTAGTCGAAATTGCATTCATAAACTTTAACTATTCCTGTAAAATTCTCGGTAAAATTCCAAACCCATGTAATAGTTATAAAAAATAGTTCTAAAATCTCAGTAACCATGGTTACCGGGAAAATAGTTCAGTCTTGGTGAAATACCCATAGGTTTACATGTTAAAAAATGGTCTGAGCGATCGAGGATACCGTACGTGTGCAAAGAATTGGTCAGTAATTTTAATACAATTTAATCTCTCGATCTTACCGACAATTTTATCTTGCATTGTTGACATGAAGACGAAAATAAACTTCCAAAAACAACATCTGCCGATAGATCTTGATCTAAGTTCGTGCCAATATGCATTGCAAAAGTAAAAGAAGGGCCCGTTTAATGGAGCTGCCGCGAAGCATCCAGCACGCGAAGCCGTTTTCAATCCATTTTAATGTATACATGTATATCAGAGAAAACTGCTAGGTATGGTAACAGTGCGCGATGGCCGAGCGGTCTAAGGCGGTGATTTTACTTACATCACCATTTGTATGCAAGAGATCGAATCCTATCTTTGACAAAAGTTTTTTTTATTTTTTATTTTTTAGTCTACTCTCAAAGATACGCTCATAAAAAACAACCGTGCAAATAAACTAGATAAAGGCCAAGGTGGTGTCATAAGTTGACTCTTTTTTTTCGGCATATAAAAGTATTAATGACTGCTTTAATATTCGAGAAATAGTTGTTTTTATACGCTCTCGGGAAGGTTACCATTGGGCTATTGCCCTTGAGCGTATAAAAACAACTATTTCTCTCAAAGCAGTCATTAATACTATATTATCCCAGTGATTCAATGGCTGTTGTATTTAATAATTGGATTAAAGTATAAAACCAACATTTTGTTTGATTTGTAATATAACTTTATTGCTTAAATCCTGTTTTGCAATCTTATTGATAACATTGATATTAGGGGGAGATGATTCCACATAATTTAAGGATCAGACTTTCACCTCACGCTAAAATACAAATACTTGAAAGCATTTGTAAGCAAGAAAAATAACTAGGTTTTACACATACTGGGTGCTTTAATTGATCTCCCAGTCACAAACTTACATCAGCAGGGCCCCTGCGCAATATTAACATATTTCTAATATGAATATTCATAAGATCTGTAGTGAAAAGTATTCTTGTTTACTCTGTGGAGTGATCTTTGCATTTTCTTGTAAATGTACTATGCTTCCTTGGAGAAATTTCAATTATTTAAACATATTTGTGGCTTACACCCAGTAAATAAGATTGATTGATCGATCTGTAATTGAAAAACAAGTCAGAAAAAATCTTGGAAGCAGCGGGACTTGAACCTGCATCTACTGCTTGGCGGGCAGCGACTCTAGCACCAGGCCATCACTATTCCATGATGCATTGTTGAGATATCTTTTCATTTTGTCTCTCTTACAGTATCCATGTATTCAGCGTTTGACGTAGAAGACTCCGCCTGCTTACGGGTTCTTAAAGACTATGCTGAGAAGCACTCTACCAAGTTCCCCATGCTCATAGGTAATACAGTTAAACCTGCTTTAGCGACAACCTGTAAAGAAAGACCACCTGTCTATAAAGACCACATTTCTTGTCTCCCTTGAATGGTCTTGATATACAGGTTTTGCTGTACCATAGCGTGTAAAGAAAGAACACCTGTCTATAAAGACCACATTTTCTGTTTCCCTTGAATATTGTTTTTCATTTATGTTTTGCCATTGAAATGTGTACTAAATGAACCTCTACAAAATGAACCTCTACATAACAACCACCTGCCCATAAAGACCACTTGTCTTGTCTCCCTTGAATGGTCTTAATGTACAGGTTTCAATGGACCATAGCATATTGAGAGAGATAGTTGTGACACGCCTACATGGACACGATCAAAGGTCAATTCATGGAGCTTCAAATAGTTTCCTCCCATAGAGATTGTACTTGGGAAGAAACTACAGCGTATTGGGAGCTCCATGTATGGACCTTGATCACGTACATGTTGGTGTGTCGCAACTATCTCTCTCTCTCAATCCGCTATGGGTGATACCATCTTTTTCATTATCCTGACCAATTGAGATTGATTTTCTAGGCTTAACTTATTTTTAAGCCCTTGTGTGATAAGGTTCTAAAGCAATTTTTCAGTCATTGTAAAACTGCTTGCTGTCAGAGGATAGAAACGGGATTGTTAGGTCAGTGACTTCGAACAAAAAAGGGGATTTTCTTACAGAAATTTCTTGATGGATACTTTGGCATCTATAGACATATTAATTTTTCCCCCTCCAATCGAGGGGCCCTAGGTCTTGAGCGATTTTGTTGTGATTAGGATGATTGTGAAATTTACAATCAGAGTTTCTATTTTCTGCAGAATCACCCTGTCAGAATGGCTTCGGGAAAGTTTCAAATTTAATTCATATTTCAAATCACATAATACAATAAATACTAAGCCTCATTCTAATATGTCTGTGAATGGGATACCGCCTTTTTATGCTGTTTCCTATGATGATGTTGTTCAAAAATTATATTTGCTTCATTTTTTCAGGTGAAGACATGACTCATGCAAGGAAGGTGCAATTGACTTTGTACTTGGTGAGTTGAAAATACTTTTTTTTATTAATTTGACATGATCTATTAATTTAAAAAAGTCTTTGCAGTCATAACAACTCAATTTTGATATTTTTTTGGAGCAATTATTATATCAATTAATAAATACTGAGATTATGTACAGCTTTATATATCTCATATTCATCAGAGAATCTTTGTTATTTTTGGGAGGATAACTTAAAAACGTGTTGTCAACGAATCTTTCTCAGTTAAACTTTAGGGCCTGGGTGGACATAAAGGTCAGAGGTCATATCTACGGATCTTGCAATATAGGGATTTCAATAGCAATACATGTACCCGCACAATGTTTTGGATGTCGTTTGTGTGTCATCAAATGTAAGTCTTATGATGATGATGAATAGATTGAAGGTTATATAGGTCACTTAAGTTAAAAATCCTTCTACAATCATTGCTCGAAAACTGTAACTGTGGAAAGAACTGTTATATCCCATGTGATGAATTCAACATATTTTCTGTATTCTTTATTTTCTTCTTTGTTTTGCTCTTTTCAGAGCACAAAGTACATGACAGACTTTGACTCCACTCACTGTTCCCCCCTGCCAGCGTCTTACTTCCTACCCCCATGGTCTCTGGACGATGAGATGAATTGATAGCCGCCTCCTCCCCACCCCTTGCTTCACGCTCGGTGGCAAAACCTTGCCCCTCTTCCTACCCCCATGGTCTCTGGATGATGAGATGAATTGATAGCCCCCCCCCCACCCCTGGTTCACCCTCGGTGGCAAAACCTTGCCCCTCTTCCTACCCCCATGGTCTCTGGATGATGAGATGAATTGATAGCCCCCCCCCCCCCCACCCCTGGTTCACCCTCGGTGGCAAAACCTTGCCCCTCTTCCTACCCCCATGGTCTCTGGACGACGAGATGAATTTATAGCCCCCCCCCCCCCACCCCTGGTTCACCCTCGATGGCAAAACCTTGCCCCTCTTCCTACCCCCATGGAGTCTGGACGATGAGATGAATTGATAGCCCCCTCCCCCGCCCCCCTCCCCTTGCTTCACTCTTGGTGGCAAAACCTCGCCCCTCTTCCTACCCCCATGGACTTTGGACGACGAGATGAATGGATAGCCCCCTCCCCCACCCCCCTCCCTCCCCCTCCATTCTTGTTTCACTCTCGGTGGCAAAACCTCGCCCCCCTCTTAACACACTCGCCAGGATCAATTACAGTACCATCTTACCCAATTTTGGCGAGATGAAATCAGTGCCCCCCCCCCTCCCCTTATTGCTTAGTTTCAGTCACGCATTCGCTTCTCTAAGCACACCATGAAAGGATCTTGCTGAGATGAAATAAGGCTACCCTCTCTCCACTTTGGGTCACTATCCTTGCTTCTCTCAAATCACCCAGCATATTACTTCCAACCTCTGGGGGCTGTGGATAATGAGATGAAGTATAATTACCCCTCCCCCACCTCCCTCCCCTCCACTCCAATCACTGTCAGTCGCACATCCGACCCTCTAGCACGCCGCTGCGAGGATGTCGTATCTCAATGGACCGTTGTGATGAGATGCAAAGAGCAGCCCCTTATCCCTTACCCATTTCCTTGAGGTTTGTATCATCAGTTTGCTGAAATAGTACGAAAATAGACTGGATCTAAGAGCTTCGTGTTGGGGCTGGCAGCATGCACAGAGACTGAGTAATGCCTTATTTCTTGGGTTTTGACACGATTGTGAAGAGTAGTGCTTATCAATGAGATTTAAACCTATTGAGGCTTCATGCACGAATAAATATGATCCATTGACATGTCGTGGGATCTTTGTGTGTGCAATCTAGTTCTTCACTAGAAATAATAATGATGATTGTACAATATATGTAGACGACACTTCACCCAACTATGGATCACATGGTTCAAGTCCCGTTGCAGCAATAACGTCCTTTGGCAAAGACATTAATCTACATTTACCACTCTCCACCTACGAGTTCATTAGATACCCGGAATACTCCCCAGGGTGTGGAGCGTGTGCACTATCATGTTCGGATTAGCAATTGAATCCTTTAACCGGGATGATCATAATTACAACATAAAGCGCTCAGAAACGTAATATCAAGCGCTATCCGAACTTGAATATTACTATATATGAACGTGCATGGGTCAATAGGAGGATAAGCAAGAAATCAAGTGGAATACAATGTGCTTGATCCAAGGCACGTTCAGGTATGGCGCGGTAAACCACCGCATAAAAGCAGCGGCATACTTATAACATGTAAATGAATGGCGTACATAATAATAATAATAATAATAATAATAATAATGAACGTTACTTGTATAGCACATATCACTAACACAAAAAAGTTCGTATGCTCTTAATAGGAAAGAAGGAAATAGAGATAGGGCAGAATAAAAATAAACATTTATGCCTGATATGGGAGTTGTTGCTACCTTGTTTGGCGTTCAACAATAAGGGATAGAGCAACGTCGATCTGGCGCTGCTCAGTGGCTGCCGGGCTCACGATCAATTGGGCAAAAAGAATTTCCGTTTCTTTTTAAGTCTACAGGATCACACAGAACTCGCTCTCAACTATCAATCATCATTATTTAATAAAATTTGGATTGGACTATTAGGCTATTATTATTATTATGATTACATGAAAAAAATTAATTACAAACAACGATAATGATACGCAATGATATACATAGTATGCATGCCTGGTTGCTATCTGATTTTGCAAAAAGTAAAAATTTAAAGTAGAATAGATCCTGAAGAAGATGCATGTAAATTCTTTCAAAACAAAACAAAGTGTGGATTTGAAACTTTAGAACAGGGATATGATTTGAATTATATGAAATTTATGTTCTTTCCATGCAGATATTAATATGCAATACATATAAAGTTTGTCTGCTTTTGATATAAATGTAGTTATTTCTCTTCTTTGAGATACATTTAGTTAATGAATAAATAGAATGTGTTAAAACGGTGTTGCATGTAAATTATATGTGAAAATGGTAATGATATTTATTTGAGTCTTTTCTTTGATCATGTTTGGCTTATATATTGAAATTAATAAAAATTCATCTTTTTGAAGCCAGAAGGGCGTTAACTCATATACATGAACAAAGATTTAAAGCCCTTCCGGCTCTCAACAGCAATATTTCCTCTTTGGTCATCATGGATGTTGACGTTTCGCTCAATTTTCAAGATTTTGCTGTATTTAAATATTCTGTCGAAGTCCAGCCGAACGTGAACGATGCCAAATGTTGTCTCCGAATTATTATTTTGTTTTTGTTTGTTAATAAAGTAAGTCACTGTTCTGTATAAAGCTTTGAGAGTATCATAAACGAATATGTCATGTCACTCATAGAGGTGCATACTCTTGAAAGCTGAATGTATTTATCTGAATATCTGCAAAATAGGGCCAAATTTTGATGAAAGATTCTCTTGCCGAGGCGCTATCAGTAGACACGCTTTTCTAGATGATATCGTTTGCATGGAGGCACTTGCTGCTTCCCTAGCTGCGCTGTTGGTTGTCGCATCGGTTCCTCAGTCTGCGAAGTGGAAATTAGACATTGGGTCACGCACTGTTGGCAAGTTGACCATGAGATGGCGCCATGCAATAAACTACACTAGGACAGAAATTTCATCAGTTCAGTATTGCTTTATAAGACCTGCATTAGAGCATTTTAAGTTGCTTTTTTTCATAAGAGTGTGTTTCATTTGTATGCCTTGGCTCATACATGTTTGTACAATGTATATAGTACAATGTTTATTTGTGATTGTATATTAAAGAAAATAAAGAAAAAGAATGTCATGAATATATGGATCTTATCTATGTGTGAATTTTGTTATCTATGGGTATAGTTCGCATACTATATCCAATATATATTTATCTATTTCTTAAATGTATTTTCTGATCTTTTTTAATGTGTTGATCAAATTTCACAGGAGATAAAGAAAAATAGAGCCAATTAGTTTCATGATAATCTTGGGGTTTTAACTAAAATATCAAAACTCTGTCACCTTACTTTAGGGACTAATTACTACCAATATTGGTACTATTACTAGGACAAGTTACATTTAAGTTTTACAGGGCAGATACAGCACAGAGATTGGAAAAACAATATTCAGGAGAAACCATGTTTCATGTTCCAGAATGGGACTATTTATTAATATACAATTATATGCAATTATATAAATGTAAAAGATAACAATATATCAAGATGATGATAGAAAAATTGCTTTTGAAGGAAAAGTGCTTATCGGTACATACATTTGTACATACATCTACAAATGAATACAATGTACACATTTCAAAGGAACAAAGTGAACTTCATAAACGAAAAATACTGATATTTAGGAGCAGAGATCACTAGTTCCATCAGATGAGCATCGGAAGTAGAAATGGAAGCTTTTTAAACAAATCAATCACACAAAATTATACTGCAATGTAAAACATAAATAGGACCCGATACATCACGCGTGTATACCGCGTACATCATGAAAATTCTCCTTTAATTTATTCCAAGATTATGCACTTCAATCATTGCACCACAACACATCGGACGGAACTGCTTTATTTCATCTCGTTTTCTCTTTAAAATTAATATATCATGATCAAGATATGGCCAACTGAATATTCAATTTATGAAAAATTGAAGGAACAGAAAATCCTGTCCAAGTAAAAACTATATTCTAAATCTCTGCTCAGATACTTTCAACATTAATTATAGATTGAATTGAGAGCAGGGAAAAATAACTTCTAAAATACATTATGCATTCATCTAAAGTATTCTATTATACCTTTAAAATATTACAATTTTAATCGAAATATTAAATACATACACCAGCTGCATAAAACTTGTATCCTTATATTATCTTATTACAAATAAATACCAAGTTGTCTATAAGAACAGGAACAGAATAAATAATTTATTTAGATATATAGTAGGAGGTAAAACTGGTCACTTAAATGATATTTCATACTTATAATGATCACTATGGGTATACTTAAAATATAACTAAATGCAGATACTACATGATTCTAAATTGTTTATCTCTCACTTGTATGAATGCTATTTGACATAACATATATTCTTGTATCATGAACCTTTAAGTTGAATACTAAGCTATGAAAATAAGAACTATGTTTTCTATTTATATATCATAGATCCATTTCTTACTCTTCCAGTGTTCTTTCTCTCTCTCATCTATTTCTACATTTCCATTTTTCTTCTCCTCTTTTCTTTCAGTATGTTGAATAATCATTATCTTGCACTATCTCATTTTTACTACACTATATGTACATGTAGTATTCTCTCCTATTAACTCACTTTCTAATCCTGCTTTTCTCTTCTTTTTCTCCCTTGCTCTTGACTCCCTTCCGGCTCTCTCTGTCCCTCTTCCTCTTTCTCATTCTTCTCCTCCTCTTCTTTCTGATTCTTTCTCTCTCTCTATCTCTCACTCACACTCTCTCTCTCTCTCTCTCTCTCTCTCTCGCTCTCTCTCTCTCTCTACCTCTCTCTCCAATGGAATAATACATTAGAGTAGCTTCAATGTATTAAAAAACTAAATAAACACTACAATGCCTACTACCTCAACAACCCTGGAATGTTCTTATCTTTAATACTTATACTTAGAAATAAATTGTGCTCCCTGAGGACATATACATAGAATATATTTTACAACTCACTCCTAGATCCTAATCAAATTATTACGTGTGAAGAGGCAAGTGCGCCTATCTCTGTGTACACGTTAGAGTATTAAAGCCTATTAAACTTGGGGTTTATTTGTCAGCGGTGACCCAAAACAATCTTGAAATTAATTATTTTTACATCAAATAAAAGAGGATCTAGGAGTTTCATTGTACAATGTATAAAACAAACTTTGAATGATGCACGTTTCGTTCGTTGGTTACAGGATCTATCAGCTCTTGTTGAGGCTTTTATGCACCTCATGTACTCAGCCTGATGGCTTAATTTGTACGATAGATGCGCACAGCCTTGACTCAAGTGCGGATAGATCGTATAATGAACTTATTCGCATGCATCATTTGTATACTATATAAAACCACAAACCATCATGAATTGTTTATGCTTGCCCGAGAAACTTACATCCTGCAAGTTCCAATGTTGTGTTCTAGCGACAATAAACTTTTAGCAATTCTGGACCATTCACGAAACTTGCCAAAGATTAATTCTCTTGAAAGCTTCTGCTTTTGAAGAACACTACCTGAAAACCAAACCACTACAGTGACATCAACTCACAAAAGCTATGACAGTATATTTAAAAAAACAAAATTAAGGTACCCGGAAGTCTTTTCCAAACTTCCTTTCAAAATGAGTATCTAGAATATCCTATCACAACTAAAATTGAAGTACATTAAAATACAAATTTTCAAAATATCAATGCAAATAGAACACTGAATTACTCAGGAACCTAATGCATCATTGAAATACCATGGTAATTTTGTTCTAAATTTATTCTCTTTTTAAATTGCCAAAACAGTGATTTTGAGGAAGAAGATCATTTTAAATCATCATTATCTGTGTGAGAAATATCACATTTCTCTGATTCAGTTTCATTTTCATATACTGCAAACCAATGACACTGTCTATATGACTGTTCTAAATTTCAACAGAAATCATACAAAAGCAGGCAAAATCTTGGAACTGTTAAATTTCATTGTTAGGTAGCTAGGAAACAAGTAAAATAATCTTTAGAGGGGATAATAATTTTGTTTACCTAGTAACACGTTGGGATACCATTACAATGCTGATAATCCGGTAGATTATGTGCCGTATTAAAATGTTCCTCTAGAAGATGGTTCTCTAATGATGATGGGTGTGGTCTTGGAGGAAGGAGCGATGGTGTCACCTAGCAACAGGGGGTGACATCATCCCTGAATGACCGCTCCTTAATCTGGGGCCATGGAGGGCATGTCTAGAAGAAGAAGGAAGAAAAGAAGACGATAATCAGGATGAGATGTTAGATAAGATGGCAACAACAAATTACAGCGGACAATATAAACTACTGCTCTTTACTCTGTTTTCCAGACTACAAAACCGGTATTTCTAAATTTCCCCCATTTAATAATTTTCAAATTTCTAATATCATGTTTTGTTTTTATTCTGCTCAGTGTGATGTTTTGACTTTGACAGCTGTTTTACTGTTTGTATATCTGTACAAATGTCTTCATGACAACATCTGATTTGTTTAAAATATAATTCAAACAGATAGATACTCTTAAAGGTTTCCTACATTGACATAACAAGATTAATAATTTTGATGATGTGACAACCACACAACCTACATGAACATATATACACCAAAACAAGCTTCTGGTGTATTTTGTATCAATGATGACATACATTTCAATGATGAGAATATAATTAATTTATCAAAGATATTTTAATACCGTCCAGTGTCCAAACCGAGAGAGAGAGACAGAGAGAGATGTGTGAAAGTCACTTACGATTCATGTTTGTGTGAATAACGGAGGGAGACGGGCTTGGGGTCTGATTCTTTACCACAGTCATTGCAGAATGGAACTGATTTAGCACCTGGAGATGATGACAAATGTGAAAGGGCCTCAAGCTTCCGTACAAAGGCACCTGAACAGAAACAATAGAAATTCAGTTCACATTTGCTACGTAAGGCGGACTCGGCATATTTAGAAACTCATCAATAACTAAATGGAACTCACTCTTAAAACTCTTAATACCACCCCCATGAGGTACATTCTTATTAATATCCATAATTAAAATGGAAACTTCAAAATATTTCCCTTACATACTGAAATTCACATTAGAACTACTACAAACGCCAAATGACTACAACGTATATCATTTGTAAGAAGTTTTCAAGAATTGTTCAAATCTCTTCATGAACTTCAAACTTGTGCATTGCAAGAAAACAAAAAATGACAAGTTATCAAAAGTGCAGATTCAGTGATTTTTATATTGTAAGTAATCTTTTCTGCAGACACAGACTCTAATTCAACGCTTTACCACAGTTACTATTTAGAGCCTTGAGCAGAGCCTAGCTACTGTCCGCTAGTCTCTCTGGCTGTGTCAAATGTCCACAGCAGCTATTAGTAAAGGGCATTATGTAGTAATCTGGCAGGTTAGTCTCACACTCACAGTGCAGACACTGTTAAGCAAAGCGACTGACAAGGGGTGGGGGGAGGGGGAGGGGGAGGGGGATGGCCTTGAGTTAATACCTGTATTAAAGTATAAAATGGTATGAACAGTTTTGTGAAGGATCTCAAAGGGTAGAAGCCGATGTGGGGGGGGGGGGGGGGCAAGGCAAGGGTAAAGGATTGGGGCATAATAATGAGGGATTGAGAAACAACAATAAAATCACATCAAACATTTCATTCCGACAATTAGGACATACATCGTTACATACTTCCTACTACCTGTGTGAGAGCACATTACTTGCTCAGTGAACGGGACCTTTTCGTTTTCAAATCTGAGGACCAAATAAAACAAGCAGGATGATTCGAAACTAACCACTGTGAATTACTATTAGTGAGGGTGACGTTACATGTCATAATTATAGTGAGAACATAATAAAAACAAAATATCCTACCACTTAGCTTATTGTGGTGGAAAGTGATAGAAACAGACTTAATATTCTTGTATTTTCAGTTTGTCTTCTCCTCCGTCAGTGACCAAATGATAGAGAACAATGTTGTGTTCACAATCATTTCCAATTTTGATAATCATTATGATAATCAACATGCCTTCTTTTTCTTTTCTTTTTTGCCATGTTAAAGAGGAATATATGGCTGTAATCAAAATAAGTCTATGGCAGTAGACTATTATAAATTTTCTACCGGTAAAATAAAACATGGTATGTAACTATTAAGATACATCTAATCGTACTATTAACTGAAAATAAAAATTCCGGAAATCACTTGTTTGTTAGTGCTCTTAAAAAAAACAAGCATAATTGATACAAATATTTATGGCTAATAAAAGCTGATATGATCAAGGTATTAAACAAAGCTTTAGTATTATGAGTATGAGTTTTATTGACAAATCTCAAGACAACTTACTTTTATTGTTAGCTTTACAAACAAAACAAAGCAGTAATTATAACTAACAGCTACTGTTAACAACATTAAAAGTTAAGGTAGCACTGCTAATTGTTATCAAAATATACAATTTTAGTTGGAGAACTATAATCTAGCCTTTCGAGTGTTACTGCTTTGTAAAGAAATGGTACTTTTCAATCGCACACAGCCTCAATTTCTAAACTGTTAGCTCTACAAATAAAACAAAGCTGTGAGTATAACTAACAGCTACTGTTAAAAAAATTAACTAATAAGATAGCAATGCTGTTAAATTGTTATCAAAATAGACAATTTAGTTAATAGAAAACTATAATCTAGCCTTCAAGTGTTACTGCTTTGATATAGAAATGGTAGTTTTCAATCGCACACAGCCTTACGATCAATTTCTGGACTAGTATAACAGCGTGCGAGCCTTAGATTGGCCGGTAAGACTACAAAATGAAGATGAAGAAAGATTGAAGGACATACATAATTTGTGAGAAGAGTATCTCACAATTATATAAACTAAAAGGAGATAATGACACTATGAACTACATGTACATGTGAAGAAGTTTTTAAGTATACCGTGCGAGGAGATATGTATCTCATAATGACACATGTATGAAACTCTAAGTTAAGACTATGAAATAAAAATGAAGATCATTATGACGTTTGAAGAACAGATATATATCTTAATGAGTAGTGCACTACTCTCAATAAACTATATACTTTATTTGTGGAATGAGAGGACGGATGTGAAGGTGATTGTGAAACAAGATGATGTTCTTTTACAAGGAAAATGATACAGAGTAAAATGGAGAACACATATGTCATGAATTGCAGACATGTAAAATGAAAATTACAAATAACAAATGGGTCATCGTTTCAATTTGGAGAAAAGAGAAAAAATGTTATATAATGGTCCAATGTAAAGTATAGATAAATCAAAAGACTGTAAATCATGAAAATGGAAAACTAAAATATGAAATCGGTTGATCGCTAGGTTACAAATTTGAGTATTGTCTACAAAATGAAATGATTGATTGTATTAAAATATGAATAATGTTGTTAATATCGTATCATCTGCCGAAAGCTCGAGGGGAATCAACTCATATCCTGTGACTCGGAGTCGACGCCCTTATGCTTCTCAACAGACAATATCTTCTGTTAAGAGCCAGAAGGGCGTTTCAAACTCTGTGTTTGAATATATGAGTTAAAGTAGTCACCCGAAGAATCAAATGTGTTTTGAATTGATGCAAAATTCATATCATTGCAAAGGGGAAGCCTTACTGATCAAATACAACAACTTCCCTCTTCAAAATATGTTTGGAGCCCGCAGTAATCATCTCTCAATAATGTTAATTTTGAGACCCAGATTTTCTGCCTTCAGCTGTCCTCCGTAGAGCGTCAAGATTCGGGACGTCACATGCGAGACACACAGCCACAAATTGCATTTTACGCCTTTCCATGATATCTATATGATTTTTCAGCAAATTATTCGTGTTTTTCAAGAGAAAATCTTTCCATCCATATATGATTTTTCCATAATTATCAGTTGTCATGAATGTTCTTTGGGTGACTACTTTAATGTCCTTGTGGATCTGGGCACAAAATGTTTTTCTATTGAATATGTAATGAAAATCACAGAATTACAGGTAAATGTATGCAAAACAAATTCACTATTCAATGGAATTTTCAAAATACTTTGATGGAAAACTTACTTCTGTCTTGTAAGCTGGCAAGCGTGTTTCCCCTGGGAAGGAGAGGGGTGGGTAGATTGACGGGCTGGGTGCGGAATTGGGTGGGGATGAACTGGTAACTATTGGCCCCGCCCCCAGACTTCTTGTTGCTAGGGAACTCGGGGTCATAGGTCGATGTCTGAGCGCTGGCCGGAGGGGGCATGTTGTGGGGGCCAGGGGCTACTAGTCTTGCTAGATTCTTCTTGAGGGTGGGCCTGTTAACATAAAACAATTTTAGACAGTGAAGGCTCGTTCAGATATGGCGCGGTGATCCACCACAGTTTTGTTACATTCAAATGAATGGAAACTGCGCGTATTCACTGAGCTCTGTGTGTTACAAGATACAGAAATATGATGTATTTTGCACTTTGCGTATTCATCATGAAAATAAAAGCTATCAAGGTTTGGCCACGTCATATCTGACCAAGGCATAAAGCAGGAAGCCAGTGAGAATTGATCAGAGGGCCTGAAAACTGCCTAGAAATGAGGTATCTTGTACACAAGAGCCATAAACTATGGCTTGAAAATAACTCGCCAGGGCCTGAATTTAGACTTTTGCCTGAAAACTGGCATCCCTGATAAAGGTTTCTAAATCAAATGTGCTTTATTTTATTTGAGTAGCCTTTTTAAAGGTTTGATGGCGGAACTTGATTTCCATCTCCATATATAGGCCACCTGTCTATAGTGGTCACCCATATATGAATCACCTCCCTCTAGGAGGAAACATGTGTCGAAGAACCTGTCTAGAAAGACCAATTTTCTACAAAGGCCCCTGTTTGTGTTTCCCATGGGTGGCCTTCAAAAATAGACAGATTTGACTTTGACTGTAACTGGAAAACCTGAAGAATTCTCGAAAGTGGACTAACTTTAGTCCATGGTTTAATCCACCGACTAAGTATGGAACGCCAAGTGTCCATATGAATATATTTTTGAATGATTTGATATGTCCCTAAATAACCATGATAACATAATGACATCATAGTTATATTGTTGTTTATTAATTATGTTATTACATTTTATTTTAATTTAGTGACAGATAAAATTATTCAAAAACATATTCATATGGACACTTGGCATTCCATACTTAGTTGGTGGATTAAACCATGGACTAAAGTTAGTCCACTTTCGAGAATACCACCCAATCATTTTCCTGCTTCCTTACCGATGGCTTGAGATGAAGGTGTTGGTTCTCTGATAGAAGGAGCCATGGTCAGCTAAGATGCTACGTGATGGCAAGGCGTGATCCATCAGTGGGTTCCTGCATAAGAAATAATTAGTCAACAATCTTCAATCAATGATCTTCAATCAAGCATCTGATTTATCAAAGGATTTGATTGATGAAGATTGAATGAGATTAGCAAGTTTATGTTAGTGGGTAATTCATGCACATACAAAAAGTAACTCAACAATCTTCAATCAAAAATCTGATTTACCAAAAGAATTGATTGTTGCAGATTGAATGAGATTATGTCAAAGATTCATCCTAAATCACAAGTCAATTTAACAAGATACCGGTAGATGGTGAAGAACAATTAAAAAGTAAGTCTTAACCTGCTTCCATCAGCTAAAAAAATGGACTGCTGCAGTTAACACATAACATGTATACTCTAAACAATGTAGCAATCAAAGTTTTCAATACGTACCAGATAAAAAGCCCTGCCTATGTCTCGCTTTGCTATAGCGGCGAGACAAAAAAGAATATTTTCTCGGTATGACAGTTTACTAATGGTTCTTTCTGGTATCACTAATATTATTTAATGGTCATATCAAGAAATTTTTCATTCTTGGATGAAACAAATTAAAAAATATATATGTTGTTAGGGATGCATTGCAAAAAATCACCTCTTGTAGCATATAGCTCACAGAATCTTACCTGGAGAGGATATCCCGTTTGAGACCCTTGTTGATGGCAGAGAGTGATTTATCTCCTCTGGTGCTGCTATTGCTGTTGTGGTTATTGTTATCATCAAGAAGACTAGGTGCTCCACTGACCATCCCGCCCGCTTCATCAAAGACATCGTTATCACTGTCGCTAAACCCAAACCTATCGACATCATTCCAAGAGCCTCTGAGTGATCCGACCTCCCTGGGAGACCTATCAGGTAGCTGGTCGGGAAGCTTCTCCACGTCATTGATGTCCTCTTGGACAGATGACTTGCGCCTCATCGGATGCTCCTTCTTCTCGGCAGAGTCCGGTTTCTCTTGGTAGACGACACACCCATTAGCCATCAAGGTGAAGTCTTTGTTCTCCCCAGCACCGGATGTTGGATTGTTTGAGGTATTTGAGTTCTCCTGCAACCTGAGGTCTTGCATGGCAAGGGAAGGGTTGAACGATAGGCGGTTGCCGTGGGCCAGAGACTCAAGCTGGCGCTGCTTCTTCGAGTTGGAATCCTGCTTGCTGGCATGGTGCAATCGACCAGTCCTCTGAGGCATATGCGATGACATGACGTCTCCGGGATACTTCAAACCTTCATGCTCCACTCCTAGTGCAGTCTGTTGTCTCTTCATGGACATCGATAGACGCATCAGGGCCCTCCTGTCCACGCTGTCCGCAGGGAAGTGCTCTAGGATTCCTTCGCTAGGCAAACCTTCTCCATGTGCACCAACGGGATGCTGCTTTCTCCTGTCTCTCTTTTCAGAGAACACTTTGTCGTCAAACGTAACATCCTTCCGTGACACCTTATGCTTTCTCCTGATCTCGTTTGATTCCGCCGAAGCAGATTTCTCAGTAGCGCCCTCTCTGTGAAGCGCATCATCATCGCTGCAATCCTTGTAAGATACGGTGACACTCAAGAATTCTGGCTCATCTTTTGGCTCACTATGTCTACTTGGATTCACTGTGGTGTGGTTTGAACCAGCAACCTGCCGGTGTGTAAGTCTTTTCCACTGGTCCTCCTCAGACCACTCTGAGGACTCTTCTCCTGTAGATGATTTCTGACCTCTCTCCAGCATCTTCAAAGCGGCGATGTGACGATTCTTACGGGCATCATCCTGAAAAAAAGAGGAGCAGAGAATGGTAAGCCCTTTTAAATATGAACGGCATCTTCTCATACTATTAAAAGAAGATCAACCTTTTTCATTCAACAATCAGAATGCATTCCCTTATCTGTCTATCATGCTTTTCTATTATAAAACACATCACGTTTACAGGCTATGAAACTCGGATAAACGTTTTTAAAATTATAGTGATTTTGAAAGGCCTGCATGTAACTCTAATGCTAATTGTCTCTTGGTTTCAATTGATATCAAAGAAATCTGCTTGATGTTTTATTCCTACAGCTCGCACAGAATCGGATAGTTTAAATGATATAAAACATGTGACTGAATGTAACACAAGTTTCAGTGCGACAATAATCAATTGCACCCGCCTGTAGAGGTGTCATGGTTTAGCAGATACGTCACCGGACTGTGAATCTCATGGATTGCATGGTTTGGGATTCGAGTCCAGCCGCAGGAACAAATGTCTTTTGGCAAGATATTAATCCACATTTGCCACCCTCAACCCAGGTGAAGTAAATTGGTACCTGGTACAAAGAAATTCCTTGAATGCTTAAGTGCCTTTCATGGTAGTTCAGCTAAAGTCGGGGACAATAATACAATTGCAGGGCCCTCAGGGAGATCAGTATTAATACTGATGTGGCTACCCTGGGTTTAATAACAAGACATATTATCATTATTATTATTAATATCATCATATCAATAACGGATCATCTTACCGTGCTCGATTGATGAGACTCCCTCTGTTTCCGCGCACTACGAACTCTAGATGACCTCTTTTTGTGATTCCCACTCCATGAGCTGGATGCAGCTACAGCATTGAGATGAAAATCAAAAAAATCTCAGAAAAATTGGAACAAAAGGTTAAATATAATACTTATCTTCCAAGTGTAAGTATAAGTATATAATTTATTTTCCATATCAGGTAAGTTCCATTTCCGATGGTTAGTAATACAATATAAACATATATACACATAATGAGACACAATACATACATAACAGACAAAATAACTACCGGTAAGTTATATTGTCGTTCTTACGATTAATTCCATCAGAAATAGCTTGTATGGAGTGCATTGGTCAATAGGAAACTGAAATTAGAGTGATATAAATGTACAAGTAACAATAGTATCATAGTAATTTTCACCAACGTTAGAAGTTGTTGATACCCTAAAACAATTGAAACACACATTATTTGATTAGAAGTACCAAGGATTATGGTAAATAAAAAACTGAAATTAAAGCTACACAACTAGTAAATACTTACAATACTTCCATCTATCTATGTTAGAAATGGTTGATTCCTATATCATAATCATACCAGTAGCGATAAATTTGATATTAATTGTTGTATATTCACCTGATATGGGTCTTGAGATTGATGTATCAAAGCTTGCAGGGAACTCCCTGGCTTCAACTATTGGTGAAAACAAGAAATGAAGAAAAGATTTATACCAAACGTGTTTTGAGATGTGTTGCTAGGTTATTTCATGATCAAATACTCATGAATCCTTAACAAATGATCACTTCATAATTATGGTTCACTTAAAATGAAGACTAATCAGCTGTCCACTGCAGTGTACTTGCATAAAAAAGGAGCTTTTATCTGCATTAACATTTCTTTCATTTAAACAGAGGTTAGCACTTTTCAACTTTTCATGAGGTAGACACTGTAAGCTGGGCTCTTGAATCGTTGCAAGAGAACATTTCTATCAAACATACACGTCAAAAACAAAGCTCCTGTTATACGTCTTTAAAAAAAAAAACAATCAAACAATTGTCAAAATGCCTGAATTTTGGAGACTAACATGACCTCTGACCCCTGCGAAGGGAGATAGACACTGCATACAAGCATTCTTTCTACAAAAGTGACCACTATACACAGGTTTGCTGTACTCACATGATGTTCTCTCTTCTTACTGTGCCTTGAAAGAGATCGAGGATGTGATCTTTCTGTGGGTTTGTCTGGAGAAAAAAATTGATAAAATTACCCCGACTGAAAATAAGCTTATAAAAAAAGAAGAAGAATTAGGACAGAAAAGGGATCTTCCAAATCAAAGAGATCATATACATGTATAAAGAACTTTAATTATAGAGTACCTCAGCTGCATTCATACAGTTTCACTGATGACAATTTCTGTGAAATGGGGCCCAGATGTACACATTGGGGAAGTCTTTACCAGTTAATTTGCGTCTTGTTTAAAAAATATCATGCTATTTCCCAAATAGTGGGCTAATTTGCACCCGTCAGAGCTACTTTGTGATGAGCGTATCGGTCTAGTGAAGATGCAACTTCGAGCTTCGGGATAATATCCCGAGTCTGAAAATAGCGAGGTATTTGGCAAACTCGAGCTGATGAAGACAGGCCTATTGTGACTTACTGCTTGGCTTTGCTTCTAAGGAGTTTTTGGTTGGGTGAGAGAAGAAGACTGGTGCTGTAGACTGGACGTTATCTGAAGGAACAAAGAGAAAACAGTGAAACATCTTATGAACTTGGGTATTTGGCTTTGGCTTTGACATCTCAAATTCTCTTTTGTTCGCTCCATTCCTTTTTTTTAATTGTAAGAAAAAAAAAAAAAACTTTTAACCCATTTTTCCTATTTCCCCATGATTATTTCAATTCATTGATTTATATCATCACTGGGACATGAGGTTCTTTGGCTACCAACCCTTGTAATCCCATATCTTTGTATGTTCTCTTTTTTCTCTCATACTTCTCTCATAAATTTCTCATAACTTTCTATTATTTTCCTTATATTTCAACATGTGTATGTATTTGTATTTTAACTCTTTGAATCGTATTTTGAATGAAATAAATGACTTGAACTGTACATTATCTGAACATTGAGAACAAAGTGAAAGTAAAAAATCGCACCATTTTCATACCTTCGTAAAATAGAACAAATCATTAAAAAAACATTCGCTGATATATATGTACCAGGACCAAAAACACAATGACATCCTTTACAAGTACAATACATAATTTGTTGGAAATAATAAATCAGTCTTTTGTATCTCTTCTGACAGTTAATCAAGGAAAAAAAAATCACTTACATTCATCCTTTCCAGTTTTCTTCTTCACCGGGTCACTCTCACATTTGCCTTCACTGGTCACAGCGATCACCTAAATAAAAGATTCATAATAATAATAGTAATAATAACAATAACAATAATAACAATAACGACAACAATGATAATAATAATAATAATAATAATAATAATGTTAATACTAATAACAACAACAATTACAATAGTGTGCCTTCCTTACGCAGGAAAGCCTCATTGGTATCAAAACTATTTTCCCTGAGGGCCCTGTAATCAAATTCATTCATATACTTTCACACAGAATAAATATCGTTTTGGCTCCAAACAGACAATATATGAATTGTATTTTTGCTGACCTTCCTTCTAAAACTACTACCACTACTTCTTCAATTTAGTAATCTTAACAACCATATACCGTATATAACGGTGTATAAACCGCACTTTTTTGCCGCCGAAAAAATTTCAAAGTCGGGGGTGCGGTTTATACACGGTACACCAAAAAAAAAAAAAAAAAAAAAAATTTTTTTTTTTTTTTTTTTTTTTTTAAAGTTTCAATTTATGCCCCTCCACCTGGCGCTATGCCTGGCAATGTCTCCCAGCTCGGTAATCGGTGTGTTGACTCACCACTCGGACACTAGAACAACACTCAAATTTGTCTGTCATCTTGGTTTGAAAGTAATCTTTCTGATAGATCTCAATATGTAGTTTATAATAATAATTCCTCCAATTTTTCTTCTATTACATGGTGTACCACAAGGTTCTATCCTAGGTCCCTACTGTTTTTTAATTTACAGTACCGTAATGATCTTACACACACACACAAAAAAAATCTCGGCAAAAAAAAAAAAAAAAAAAAAAAAAAAAATTTTTTTTTTTTTTTTTTTTTAAGGGCGAAAAAGAGGGGTGCGGTTAATACACGAGGGCGGTTTATACAACGTTATTTACGGTAGTTGACTTACCGTAAAGGTATACTCAGTATTAGGAGTGAGATTCTTGACGGTGAAGCTCAGATCTCGTCCAGAGTAAACCACGTTATAATGCAATCTGCTGCTTTTCCTTCTAAAACTACTTACCACTACTTCTTCAATTTAGTAATCTTAACAACCATATAGTTGACTTACCGTAAAGGTATACTCAGTATTAGGAGTGAGATTCTTGACGGTGAAGCTCAGCTCTCGCCCCGAGTAAACCACTTTACCGTTCATAGTGACTTCAAACCGGTATATCCTCCCTAAGGGTAATCGGGCGGGGCCCAGGTCACGTGGATTTGACTCCGCCCACGTGCTGTCAGCGTTGGTTTGCTAGGTGCGTGCTTCCCTGAATAGGGTAGAGTTACAAATAGCAGACGAAATAATCAATGATTTATCACAAACCAAAAAGATAAAGACTTTGTTAATTATACATCCCCTTTCAATGGCAGTATAACAACAAAATAATCCCCTTTATATCCAAATTAAAGTAAATATCAACAGCTATAAACTATTGTACTTTACATAATTATATATTCTAATATAATAAAATCTTGCAACCTATATCACTGTGGTCTGCTTTTGAAATTATATTATACAATTATATAAATACAAAAAATGTGGAGTATTTCCTTTAGGCAACCAAGAATGCAAAAAGTGAAAAGTGAAATTCGATATAATCAAATCTTGTAACCTATACCACTGTGGTCTGCTTTTAAAATCATGATATACATAAATTATAAATATGGATTATTGCCTTTAGGCAACCAAAAATGCAAAAAGTGAAAAGCGAATTGAATTGCTAGCAAACGTAACATACTCACCAAGTTCTTCTGTTGTTGCAGATATAGAGGATTTAGGTCCTTTCCCTTTATGATTACATGCACATACCTAAGGCCAGGAATCAAGTATCAAAATATAGTTAATCAAATGAGTGTGTGTGCGTGTATAGGTTTTTTACAGACGTGTATCAATCAGATATGATTATTTACGTCTGGAGACCGACCTTTAAAAGTTACCATCCGAACGACGTGACTCAGTTTCGAACCTGCATCCTCGGCTGAATCGTCCTCAGTTAATCACATGAGACATTCACTGCGTATTTTTATAGAAATATCTCACGCATGGAGACAGATAATGATTTCCACCACTTCATTTTGTTCTGTATGTAAGTTCTTAAATTACAAGATAAAAAAAAAATTTAAGGTCATAAAACAACTCTACTTCTTCATGAACATAAAAACAAAACCCAAACACATAATTTTGTAACTCACATGAAGCTCATATGTGGTTTTTGGAGCCAGGCCGCTGATGATGGAGTTGAGTTCAGAGGTCATTTCCACCTGATGCTTGCCGTTGTAGACCACGTATCCCTTGAGGCCGCCGTTGTTGTACTGGGGCGGGGCCCATCCTAGTCTGATCTGGGAGGTGGTTATACCCAGGATACGCAATGCCTCTGGAGCATCGGGAACTGATGGAAAGATGGAAGGAAGAAATGATTACTAAATATGATCAGTTGGTCAAAGAAAAACTCATTTAAAGTTAAAGCCCCACTGTCCTACTTGTAGCTACTTGCTCCCTCTATATAGACACACTTACGTCAATCTTAAATGTTGAATTATCTAAAATATATGTTTGGCTTAAGTCTAATAAGTTATCTTTAAATTTTACTAAAACAAATTTTATATACTTTAGAAATGTTCATTCACCAAAAGTAAATGTTAGATTATATATTAATGATATTTTGCTTTTAGAAAAAAATTCTGTCAAATATTTGGGGATAACCATTGATTCTAATTTAACTTGGTCCGATCATATACATAATATATTGAACACTGTTTCTAGGAACATTGGAATATTATATAAATTGAAATTATTACTAACTCCCAAATCTCTTTTTATGATTTATAATGCTTTTGTACTTTCGCATATTAATTATTGTAATATCGTATGGGGAAACTGTTGTAAAACTAAAATTAATTCACTTGAACTTTTACAAAAGAAAGCCTTACGAATTTGTACACAATCTGATTATTTAGCACACACTACACCTATTTTTAAAACATTGAAAACTCTCAAAGTAACTGATATGCACATTTTTCAAACAGCTATTTTTATGTATAAATATGTCTCCAACTTACTTCCTAAGTCCTTTCATGATTTTTATATTCATAATGTTAATGTACATTCGTACCCCACAAGGCACTCTATGGATTTTCATTTAACTAACCCAAAAATTGTTTTGGCACAAAAATCAATAAGACACAATGGACCCGATGTGTGGAACTCCTTGCTTATAACATTAAAATTATGTACAACACTTGTTTCCTTTAAAGTGAAGATGAAAGAATATTTATTGATAAGGTATGAAAATTAGATTCTGGTCATAATATACTACATGTACTTTGTTTTAATATAAATATTCATTGTTTATTTGTATATAAAAAGGAAATTATTTGATAGATTGAGGAGCTCGCGCAGTGCACTCTTCACTTTGCACAGCACTCTCTTCACCCGCTCTTTCTTCCTGTCTCCTCTCCTCCTTTTGTAAGGCCGGTATCATTTCAAGCTCTGCTTACGATATCGGTCTTCTGCATTCTCCCCCTTTTCTTTCTTTTCAAATACGATTAATTGTACTATTGATTATTTATATTTATTTATTTGTGAATTACTACTTGTATTACTTATCATTATATTGCTAACATGTATTCATTGTTATTTTTGTTATTGTTTATGGAAAATGCAGAAATAAAACTTGAAACTGATATAGAAAACTTCCCCAATCGGTGTTTGTTGGTCCCTCATGATCCTCTTTTTCTTATGTTAGTTGAGAGCTGAGTTAATGAGATAGCCACCTGTCAGTGACCTCGCTGTGTGGTCTAATACCTTCTGGCCCAGTAGTATTGATGGTCTTTAAAGTGTACCAATCACCAACAAAGTTATTTCTCTGTAAGTAAGTAGTTCCATGTCATAAGACTATATTCAAAACATGAGCATGGAACCCAAGTCCAATTTGGATTCTGCGTCTGCTGTTTGATATAATTTTTTATTTTCTCCACAATCCTTATCCTTTTAGCCCATAGAATGCCAGATGAAATAAATTGAGGTGGATTTTGTATATTCAAGCTGCACACAACTTTTTAGCTAATTGATAAACTTTAAGGCAGTGGCCAACTTCATATTGTATTAAAACTGCTCTTTCTTCAAAATATTTTCTTTTGGAATAATCAAATAACAATTGACTGATATTATGCACACTCATTTGATCTGGAATGGTTTTATGCAACTTTATTCATTGTTAAAAAATAATAAAAATCCTTAAATCCTTTGAGACAAACAACGAACAATAAACAAACTCACCTGCATCCTGTGTCTTAGCAACACAGTCGTTGCTGTGCGGACTGTCATCGCCCTCGGTGTGTATCTGAAGCTTGAAGATATACTTGGTGAAGGGTCTGAGATTAGAGACTAGCTGCACAGTGTCAGGACCATGATACACCTGCTTGCTTTCTGGAAATTCAACCAACAAAAAAAAAGAACACTGAATACAACAGAAAGTAGTATAAATTTAAAGCCACACTGTACTACTTGTAGCTACTTGCTCCCTCCATATAGAAAACAATGCTTAATCTGTGACCATTGGTCCCCCATGATCCTCTTTTTCTTATTTTAATTGAGAGCCGAGTTGATGAGATAACTACCTGCCCAGTGACCTTGCAGGGTGGTCTAATCCCTCCTATAAACTAGTACAGATGAGCTTTAATAGCTATACGGTCAACCTGGTTTAGCGACCACCCGTCTACAAAGACCTCATTTTTGGTTTTCCTTGAAAATGGTTTCTCATTAAAACATATACTAAAGGAACCTGTACATAAAGACCACCTGCCTATAGATACCACCATACTTTTCTTTTCTCCCTTGGATGGTTTTTATAGACAGGTTTCACTGTATATGTACAGTAATGGCCTGAATCCCCCAAAATGATATGAAATACAATATAATATAGCTCACCATATCTAAAAATATATTTTCTTCAAATGGATTGCATCTGAATAACTCCTCAAGAGTCACTGCCCCCACCTCCCCCCCCCCCCCCCATGGAGACTTTTTTCCCCCACTATTTTTACAGACTACTGTGAAATTACAGTGTGGTGAATTTACACACAGCCAAAGTTCAGTGAGAGCCATACTTTTGAGCTTCTTTCATATACAATAATAAACTTCACAAAATATAAACTTAAAGGGGCAAAGCATCAAAATACATTTCTGACAAAACTAAGCAAGACCATGTCCGTTTAGTTTTATCCAAATTTCCTTATCCTACCAAAAGTAAATGTCACAAATAATCTTCATTATCCCGCGTGACTAACAACTCACCGCAGAACAAGGTGTATGTCACAGGTGATCCGCTCTTCAACTCGACGACCGGCCAAGTGACCTCTATCTCATGGGGACCTTTGACCTCTAACCCAGGAGCTTCGGGTCTGGCAAGGTGCTTCAAGAGTTCAAGGGTCAGGTCAACTTCTTCCAAGAGGTCAGGGTTCACGCTAGGCGTCAGGGATATTTGCTGTGAAATGTAAATATATAGAATTGTTATCAATTACTTGTAGATTCAAGCCTATATATAACAGTACAGTCAAACCTGTCAATAGTGACTGCCCAAGGAAAACACATAAAGTGGTCTTTGTAGACAGGTTCCTTTAGTACACATTATTCAATGAGAAACCAATTTCAAGGAAAACAAAAATGTGGTTTTTGCAGGTGGTCACTAAAGCAGGTTTAAAGTTTTTGAAGTTTATGGCAATTTGTTTGCCTAACAGTAAGAAGAGGGTATAAATGTATCAAAAATGTTTGTGACAAGCCACATTGTGTCAAACTTTTGTTTTATATTTAATAATTGAGAGTAAATATACTAGTAGTCATAACATTTCAATATATATATATATATGTATATATATATAAATATATCTATACATATTAATAATATATGAACATGAATGTATAGTAATATGAACTTCTAGTAAACTGCAGAATAATGATACAAAATAGTAAAAATGCGGTGGCTTCTTAAAAAGCGCTCAAGTCCTTAATTCAAACCTAATGCTCCTGGCACTCAAAGATTATTGTCCCATTCTTAGCAAAATATGTAATGTTCTAGCACAACTGGGTGCAGAGGGGCAAAGAACGTTAGTGCCCGGCTGCGATTTAAACCCTTAACTCTTGGATTGAGAGGCAAGTGAATGAACCAAGATAAAACTAGACTTTAATTCGTCACTTAGACGAATTAGGTGATACGTATGATAATGGTTTACATAACGAATAATGCATTACACGATATATTATTTTATGAAATGCTTCTCCCATTTATATGCTTCTCCCATTATGATCTATCCATATGTCAAGATTAAATTGTGTCTCCTTGACCATCATGGATCTAGGGAAGATAGATTGAAACAATATATGACCTTTGACCCTGTGCAGTAACCAGTTACACATTTGACTCTAATTTACATCATGAAGAACACCTTTTGACGATTTTATCTTATTCAAAGAAATGGAAATGTAATTGATAAATGATTATCATCATTATGATAATGATGATCATGATGATAATGATCATGATCATGAGCGCGATCCTGACATCTTATTGAAAAAATAAGGGTTGATTCAGATAGCATATAGTCTCAGCTACAACATACTTCAAAATAAACGAAATCCAAGCAGAAATAACGGCGATATTGCTCGCAAAAGACAGGAATGTAGACTCCAGATTTGAGAAAAAGTCATCTCCCATAGGGATAACACGCAAAAAGTAATGGTTTAAGTGAAAATAGGGTAATAATAAAGTAAAAAGGGTTGTTTATCACATTATTTGCGATTCTACGTGTTTAAATAATCAAAGGAGATGGTACAGTGAAAGGTCAAAAGGAAAAAAAAGTGGAGAAAAAATTGTTGGAGACACCTGGACTCGAACCAGGGATCTCGAGGTTGAAAGTCAAGTGCGTTACTGATATACCAAAACATCTCCCATAGCGATTACACGTAAACGGGAAATGGAATTCTGAAGTCCTACTTTGCAAGTGAAATATGAGCATGATCCCGGCATATGATCAAAAAATGAAGTGCACATTGGAGATAGGTAATTGTCTCAGCTACAACATATTCGAATCTCAGCGTAAACAAAGCTAAAACAACGGAGATGTTGCTCGCGAAAGACGGAAATGTAGGATCCAGTTTTGAGAAATAGTCATGTCCCATAGACAATACACGCAAAATGTGAAAAATTGACATGCCTCCTTTAGTCGCAAAAATACGCCATGATACCTTTGTCAAACTGGAAAATTATGAATGCTGAATTTGTAGAAAATTGTCTCAGCTAGAACATATCAAAATTTGAAAGAAAATTAATCGATATTTACAGAGATACAGTCAATTTTCCCAAAATATGCTGACGTCATAATATGCAAATTTAAATTTTGAGTTTGGAGGCCATTATGATGACGTCATGATTTAATTGAGGATCAAATGAGACATGAAATCATATCTCCGTCTCATAATCTATCCAAATATGAAAAAATATTAGGAGTTTCTATCTATTCTAAAGAGTTACAATGAATTTTATATAGGCATGTTTTTGCCCATGTATTGTGGATAAAGATAACACAAATCCGCGCGTGCTGTCAACTTTAACGGACGCTCATTGCGTTAATAAAAGGTGAACAAGTTATCAAAATGCTTGGAAAAATGTGCCAAATATGATGACAGAGAAAATTCGGCGATTCTATGTTGCAAAATGCCATTACGCGCGGAAACGCGCACGCATGCGCGTGTGCGCGTTTTTTTGTGCAAAATGCTTTAAATGGCCCGAAACGTATGCAAAAAAATTTTAAGACGATTTAGAGCATTTTAAATTTTTGCGCGCGCATTAACGCGCGCACGAACACGCTCGCGCGCGTTTTCGCACGTTTATTGACCTTAAATTGACCGGACGGATATTAATCTTAATCATGATAAATATGAATGAAAAATTCTTATCAGTTATGAAGATATGATCATTAGTTGATTTTCACAAAATGGCGCCTGGATGACGTCACGATGACTTTGAGTCTTTGAAAAGTCACGCAGTTCTAAGTTAGACTAAGATCTATCATCATTGAAAGATTCATAACAATGGCTTCATTCAGTCTTGAGATATCCTGCGAACAAATTCGAGGAAGAATAATAATAAACTAGATTTGTAATACTTGTTTGGAACAAGTATAGGTGGGCTGGTCGAACTAAAATTTGAGACAAAATAAAGGGTACATATGAGATAGCTTATTGTCTCAGCTACAACATACTTGAAGTTCAGCGTTAACGAAGCTAAACGACAGAGATATTGCTCGCGAAAGAATCCAGTTTTGAGAAAAAATCATGTCCCATAGAGAATACACGCAAAATGTGAAAATTGACATGCCTCCTTTAATCACAAAACTACGCCATGATGCTTTTGTCAAAATGAAAATTTGTGATACCTTCATTTGTAAAAAATTGTCTCAGCTACAACACATCAAAATTTGGAAGACAATCGATCAATATTTACAGAGAAAAATTCAATTTTCTAAAAATATGCTGACGTCATAATATGCAAATTGAAATTTTGAGTTTGGAGGCCATTATGATGACGTCATGAGTTAATTGAGGGACAAATGAGACATGAAATCATATCTCCAATTCATACTTTATCAAAATATGACCCCCAAATTGGGGTCACCGTGCATCCTAAGGAGCTACAGTGGATCTTATATAGGCATGTTTTTGTCCATATATGCTATGTATTACAAGAGCTCGCGCGCACGGAAATTTATGTTAAACGGTCGATCATTCCGTTATTAATAGTCATAAAGAGACAAACATGGTATCAATTTGTTTGTAAAAATATGTGGAATATTATGAAAGAAAAAAAAAGGCGATTCTATGTTGTGTAATATTTTTACGCGCGAAAACGCGCGCGCCGCGCGCATGCGCGTGTGTGTGCGCGATTTTTTATAAAATGCTTAGAATGGCCTAAAACGTATGTAAAATGATTTTGAGATGATTTTGAGCATTCAAAAAATTTGCGCGCGCATTGACGCACGGACGTGCGCGCATGCGCGCGTTATTTGACCTGCAATTGACCGGACGGATATTGACCTTGGTCATGATGAATATGAATGAGAAATACCTTTTGGTTATGAAGATATGATCATAAGTTGATTTTCGTAAAATTTTACAAAATGGCGCCTAGATGACGTCATCAGCAAAGGTCAATGTTGAAAACGTTATTATGCTTTGTACATATGCCTATACATATGTGTGCCAAATTTCAAGGCATTTGATTGAGCCATTTTTAAGTTATCTTGCTAACAAAAAAGCGGTTAGAAATAAGAAAAATATTTAATAATAATAAATAAATAAAGGCAATTCTAACGAAATTATAAGGTGGTCTGTACGTTATACAGCCCACCTGATAATAAAAATAAAAAAATAAATAATAAAAATCTTGACGAAATCAAAAGGTGATACGTCTACGTACGTATCACCTAACAATAGTTATTTTAAACATACCTATATCTATAGGGTAGCTTTAAACATACCTTTAGGAGTGGTACAACATCGGTATGGTCTCGGAGTCTGAGTACACCCTGTCTCTTTCCAGCCAGAGTTCGAAGAGTCCTGCAAAATTAACGATATGAAGAAATAAAGTCATCTCTAGTTTTAAGAAACCACAACTTCTCATATAATCCTGTACTTTTTCAGTATCTCGTTTACATTATATATTTCAAGAAAAAATAAGAACTCAGTGAAAGTGCATGACTGTGGAATAACAAATGAAAATTCTATGATGATTCTTAAAAAATACTGCTAGAATCATAATGGATCCAATGAAACAACAGACCCTACCTTTTCACTGACTTTGAATAAAGACAAGAACAAGATCAACAAGAAGAACAAGAAGAACAAGAAGAACAAGAAGAAGAAAAAGAAGAATAAGAGTAAGAAGAAAAATTACCGGCGTGAGAAAATGAAAGCAGAAAAAAAGAACCAAAAAATAACCAAAAAATAACCAAAAAAAGAAAGAAAGAAAGAAATAAGAAGGAAATATAGAAATATGAATGAATCAATTAATTTGAGAGACTCTAGCTACATGACTTACATAGCAGCAAACCATGCTGTCTCTCCATCGTCGTTACTCAGCTGCTGGGCCAGCAGATGGAGCATCAGATCAGAGTTCTTGTGAAGCAATAGTCGCTTGTGACCCTGGTCACTGCTTGCCAGGCAGCTCAGAGCGTAGCAGGCATTCTTGCCACAGCCGGAGTCTTTACTGGTCAACATGCAACACAAGCTTTCCAGCTGTGGTGGCACAAGAAAGAGAAAGAACGTAAGATATCTGTTATCCTTTTTCAAATATCCGACGTTGCCACCATGATGAGTTTGAGGGTCTTAGTAATGGAAGATAACTCAGGATAATAGAGAGTCGGCAGACGGGTTTGTTATGGTAGACATGTTGAGTTTGAGGGTCTTAGTAATGGCAAATAACTCAGGATAATAGAGAGTCGGCAGACGGGTTTGTTATGGTAGACATGTTGTTTATTCAACTACCACGGGTACCGGATATCGCATATCATACGTAACAAAGATAAGATATAATATCTGTCATCTTAGTTGTCATGATATCAATATAACCAAAAATAAATAAACTGATGTCATTGTCCAGTTGATGCCATATGTTTAATCTAAATTTTGCTTTGCTAGGCAGCTCATAGACTAGCAGACATTCTTGCCACAGCCAAAGTCTTTACTGTTCAACATGCAACACAAGCTTTCCAGCTGTAGTGCATGGCACAAGAAATAGAAAGAAGATAAGATATGGTATCACTGATATCCTAGTTGTCATGATATCAATATAACCAAAAAGAAAAGCCAGCCAGAAAGGAGATAACTCTGTGCTAAGGTTTATGAGTCCACGCCCATCTGGCTCCAAACAGACGATATTATATATATATCAGTAATTCATTTTCTAGGTCAAAATACACATAATTTTTTTTGTATACAGGCATTTCTTCTCAGGCAGCAAACAAATATTGATACGCTAGCTCTTACCATTTTCTCTGAGTCTCTGTGATTCAGCAATCTCAGTCGGCCATCATCAATGTCACAGAGACGTCCAATGGCAAATGCTGCATTCATCCCCCTTCCTATAAAAAGAAAGGAGCAAAATTCTGAGAGTTGGAATATCGTTTGTCCATAAGTCAATGGTTACAAATACAACTTCAAAAACAAAACAGAACTAAGAAACAAATAGTTCGCACACCCCACGCCTTCTTGTTTGGGATCTACACTCAAGAAGAAGAAAACGGTACCTTTAATTGTACCAATATCCAAAACATGTTTTGCTCTTGATGTAAGGGGTGCCATATCACTGCTGCATACATGTATGTACAAAGTATGAGCTTCCAATTTTACTTCTACAAAGAGATATTGCAGTTTAGATACTCTTAATAAAAAAAAACATTTACACTTTTTAAAAAATGTGGCAGCTCTTTTGCAGTGGTTTACTGTGCCATATCTGAACAAGTTCTTTAGACACATAAAGCATCGTTATTAGATGCTGGTCTCTCAATGTACATCATCTTTCCTCAGTGACCTTTGACCTACCTGCTTCGTCCATTCCTAGAGATTCGACCAGCTTGGTCAAGATTTGCAGAGAGCTGTAATGATTCAACACGCGCTGACATCCCTGCTCTGCTATCGATAACCTGATCAAGAAAGGACAACAACAAAATAAAACAAAGCTATTTGATACAAGTCAGATTTCTAAATCATGGAAGGGACTTTTACTTCTTCATTTTGTTAATATGTTTTTTTAAAGTACAGTCTAACAGAGTTTGAGAAGAGGTTAGATTGAAATCTTGTCAGGGAACAAAACTGTGTCCCAATCACACTTTAAGTTACCATTTTTCTCGATACTATATTCATACAGGCCTTTTAGAATAACAAATATTATGATATTTAGAACCAAAATAAGAAATGGAAAAGAAAGGTAGGGAACGGTCAATACCTGGCAAGAACAAGAGCTGCATTGCTAGCGGTCCACATGTTAGACGAGGATAGGAGACTGGTAACCTTTCTCAGCAGATCATCTAAGCATGAATCACCCAGCATCCAGTCTCTACCAGCCTTGCTCTCCGCCTGTAAAAAGGATGTAATACGAGCTTAGGACATTTGATTAAGACACAGGAGGACTAGGGTGAATCCCTAGAACTACTGAATGACTTTTGGTGAATACTGCAAATTAAATAGACATACCGGTGCAGTTACCGACTGAATTCATACCCCTTGTAAATTTGATGTTTTTTTTTGGTTGCGTTTTTCATTACTCAAGAATGATGGACTGGTTGATTTAGGACCTTCTTTGAATAATTTTTAGATGTAAGCTGTAGTACCGGTATGTCACATTCTCAAGAAACATAAATCAGGCAAATCAATTAGTTCACATACCTGACAAATTAGGAAACCTAATTGGTAGCTCAGTATGAATAATTGAATCGTTAACTTTATACCCAGCTAGCATCGTGTTTGTATTTTTTACCCATAACAAAAATTATATTCAACTGATTGAATAACAGATAGCTGGAGAAGAGTGAAATTGGGTTAACCCTCACATGTACAAGTAGTGAAAAAGTTTTTCATTTCATTAAAAATTCATGACTCTCTTATCGATGATGTTGCTAGAATACTTGACCGGGGTAACTCGGTACACATGGCCATCTTGGACTTTGCTAAAGCGTTCGACAAGGTTCCACATGAACGACTACTGGAAAAGCTTCACTACTACGGGATTAGACACCATACACATCGGTGGCTTAGGAATTTCTTGACATTCCGAACCCAGAGAGTGACTTGTGAAGGTAGTCCGTCATCAACAAGCAAAGTTCTATCCGGGGTGCCCCAGGGGACAGTGCTTGGGCCGTTACTGTTCCTGATGTATATCAATGACCTTCCAGCCCTGCTGAAAAGCCAGACCAGACTATTCGCAGATGACTGTTTGGTATACAAGGAAGTAGAGAACGAGAGGCACACAGACTCCTTACAGGCGGATCTTACATCTCTGGAGTCGTGGCAAGATAGGTGGAACATGAAGTTCAACGCTTCCAAGTGTTCAGTGATGATTATCTCGAATAAGAAAAAACCTCTGACAAGGGATTATATCTTCTGTGGACAATACTTACAACAGACAAGCTCTCATCCTTATCTGGGAGTGGAAATAGACAGTAAACTGACGTGGGCGAACCATGTTGACAACACAGCCATGAAAGCCAACCGCACGTTAGGATTCCTCAGGAGAAACCTATGGTTTTGCCCAGGGAATGTGAAAGCCATCGCATACACGACCCTAGTGAGACCAGTGTTAGAATACGCAAGCTGTGCCTGGGACCCATACAGGATAGGGCAGATTAATAAACTGGATGCAGTTCAAAGGAGGGCGGCACGCTTCGTAACAGGAAACTACCAAAGGGACAGCAGTGTCACACAAATGCAGACCTGCCTTGAATGGGAATCACTTGAACGCAGGAGGGAAAAGAGTCGATTGGTTATGCTGTACAAAATCTACAAGGGAAAGGTGGGCCTAAAGCAAGAGGACTACATACAAGTATCAACAGGGTCAAGGTTAAGAAGAAACCACCATCACTCAATAGAAATCCCCTTTGCCAGAAAGGACGTATACAAATACTCCTTTTTTCCAAGAACTGGACGAGCATGGAATACCCTCGACCAGCAGTCAGTAATAGCTACATCAGTTGATAATTTCAGAAACACACTCTAGCATGCATCACCTGCCATAATAGCGATATGCGGAATACCGCCCTGCTGACTACAATTTCAGAAGGTTCAGAAGGTTATAGATTTTGCTCAATTTTTTTTTGGATTGGTTTGTCTGATTTTTCTGCTTCTTTTGTAAGTAAGTTATTTTTGGAGTGGACTTGCCCTTTAATACCTCTCTTTTGATATTTATACATAGCATCTGATGACTTTTCTTACCAATGTTCCCATGGTTCCAGCAGCATTCATGACACACTCTGTATCGTCGTAGGAGAGCATCCCAGTGAGATCGGTCAGTATGTGATGAGGCGAGGACCCCTTGACCAGTGACATCACACGAAGTTGACCTACGTCATGCTCTGCTAGGGTACCAAAGATGTAGGCAGCATTCCCAGCGACTCTGTAAAATAATTGTTTTATTGTCAAAGTCAGTTCTACATATTATTTGTTTTTATTTGCTTTACAAAATGTGAGAAATTAATCATCAATGATAAAAAACAGCAACACTACTACAAATGAAAATGATGATAATGATGATGATGATGATGATGATGATTGATGATTGATGCTGTTGCTGCTGCTGCTGCTGCTGCTGATGATGATGATGATGATAGTGATGATAATAATGATGATAATAAGAATAAGAAGAACAAGAAGAAGAACAAGAAGTAGAAGAAGAAAAAACTTGGCAAAAATGAATACAATAATAATGAAAATAATATATTTGATTGAATCCCATGTATGATGATATAATAGCTTGAGGAGAATAACGAACGAATTAAAACAAGAAATAAACATTAAAAATCAGGGAGCTATATAATATTATATCACCTAGAATTTACCAATGACTTCATCATTATAGATTTTAAAAAAAAAGAAGGGTTACATCACATGTTTGCTGCATGTTAGAATTGTGTGTATCGATCTTGCACACATCCTTTTCAAAATCTAACAAATTTTAGGGCCATATGAAAATGTAGAAAATGGACTTTTTTTGTTTTAGCCTGTTATTGTATAATGGGTGCATGTCTTTTTCCTTTATGTGTCCTTAATTTTCAAACAAGTAAAGTCTCCATGTATTCTTATTATACCATTATACACAAGAACAACGCTACAAGATCCTTTGTCAGCTAGAGTTCGGAGAAGCAATTCTCTACCACACCCCTATTGTATAGCAGCTATCCACAAATAGTTTCTACTAAATGTTTTGTTCAGATAATCAATAAGGACAAGAAAATCCTTTGTGACGTTACACTTCTTGCCATCAAAAGACCCAGAAATCGGCCCTAATTCACGATAGTTGGATCAATAACGAGGTCCCAAAGTACAGAGTGTATAGTTAGTGCAGGAATAATCTATTTTCAAAACTGCTCTATTGTGTCAAAAGGGGAGTTTCTCTGAAAGTTATGTTGTTGTTTTTTTACATTAAATTGCATTTAATTTTTTTGTTTTCAGTTACTCAAAAGAAAATGTACAGCTGCATGGTGATCAAGATAGCATTTGAAACAAAAAGATGGTAAAATGAAGAACTAAACTATCAGTCTGAATTTGCATGGGCAGAAAGATACCAAAATTGACAAATCAAATTTGTCAATCATAAATTCCATATCTTCTTTTTTATTCCTGTGTTATGCTTATTATTACCAAACATATTAACAAAACGTAAGACACCACTTTTCTCAACAAAGAACATGTACAAATTGTACAGCACCACTTTTTCTAAATAAAATTAAAAATACAATTTTGCATGAAACTTCCAATCTAAAACTCATACATTTGAGAATAAATCAATGCATAATCCATGCACACTTCAACCAGAAGGTCTCCAAACCATTATGCTTTAATATCCATTAGAAATCAGTGACACAGAACCCTTTTGGGAGTTAAAAGTTGTTTTTCATCACTCTTATATACATACATGTACATTGTGTACACCTGCCCAAATATATAAATATATAAAAAAAAAATTAAAAAAAGCCAAAAAGAATTGCATTTCTAATATATTACGGTAAAAATTGTATTAATTGTCATCAATACACTCAAAGATAAGAAATTGTAAATCATTTATTGGGGAAACTAGATACCTGAATAAGTTGATATTCAAGAATCTCATTACCAAGAATCATCTTTTTTGGATTTGGTAAGTGAGGAAAAAAAAGGCACTTTACTGGAGTAAAATTTTCATTTTGATTAAAGAAAAACAATGTGACAATATTCTGACATCCCGGAATAGGATGGTATTCATGCAGCTCAATGCCTGCAACCATAAAGTTTGTGAGAGAGCGAAGTATGCAAAGAAAATGGGGCTCTTTATGTTATTTCATCATCAAAATACACAGGATGATGTTTTGGGGCATATTGTGCACTTTGATTTTACAAATTTAACTTAATTCCAAAATAAATTGGTAATCATTCTCTTGCGGCACACCTAGCAATTAATGCATGTCTTCTAGCATCTTGGTTGAAAAATGCTGCATTAGAATACCAATAAATCCTTACTTAGCATGCAAGCTGGAATTCTATTTTCACATATTTGCATTCGGGATTTACAATTCAACAAAGAAATGTCACTTTAAAATACTATTTGCCCTCTCTCTAGACTCTTTCACCAGCACAAATACAGACACAAATGAATTTCTGTTTCCCCTCAAGTCAGACTGCATTCAAATCAAGACTACCGTACCCTTTATCTCAACTCTTACACTTTCAAACACAGACAATGGGAAAGTGAAAACACTGTTTGCAGGAAGGCTTTGCTAAGACTATGATATACCATCAACAATAAAATGTTTACAGCTGACATATGTCTCTCACACCATCTCACTGTTTACTCTTCAACAAATCCAGCAGATCTATTGCTACATACTGTACATTGTAAAAGTCTTCAAGGGGATTTTGAGGGGTGTAACAAAGGTTCAATAAACAACCTGAAAAGGACTTGTCCACCTACAAAATTAAAAAATGTTGAAGTTATCTCTGACCGTAAATTGGGGATTTGGGAAATTCTATCTCAGGCATATTTTGACCTCCAAATATACAAAACAACACTCTGCCAGACAGTCAGCATATATTACACATGTACATGATGTTGTAACTTCCATATCAGTCCACACATTGAAGCACCATGAGGGGCATTGTATAACAGTTCGAGACTATTGGTAATTTAAGGTATTAAAAATGCATTATATTTTCGAAAGACACAGTCCTTCATCAAACAGTTTACATTTGGGCAATATCATATTCCCCCTTTCTTATCCTCTCTCTCTCTCTCTCTCTCTCTCTTTGATGTATTTACTATCATTTAAATAATACTTTATTTTTCTCTTGTGAAATGTATTATAGGGATTTGCTCCTCTAGTCTCACTGTACAGTGTAGGTAAAGAATTTATATCATTTTCATAGAGACGGTAAACGTAGATGTACGCGTATAGATCTACCTCTAGAGAGCAAAAACTTGAATTTGAATTTTCTTTCAAAAAGAAAAAGGGAAATCAATATACAACACTATATATTTTGTTATTGTGAATGACTCTCCCAGCATGGCTAGAGTATACCCACGTCTGCCCAGCACCCCTGTCTGTGTATATGCAAACAATATATTCGTCTTTACTACAAATTCAACAACAACAAAAGTACAAAACTAGTGAAAATAGTGAGAAGTTTCAAATTTAAGTACATTTCATCAACAAGCTTTGAAATGCTATCTTTCAACAACAAAAAATACTGTACTGGGTGCGGGCGCGCGCGTGTTCAGTTAGCGACTGTAAACTAAGATTTCAGTCGCTAACCTAACACACACGCGCGCCCGCACGCGCACCCGACCGTCGAGACGGTATGTAATTGTATTGTGCTGCAGTATGCCGTGAATCCTTTGAGAAAGTGCATATTATAAGTCTTTGAAAAATACTCCGAAAAAGATAAGAAAATTGCAACGAAACAGGTAACAAACATATCAACTTTTAAATCATGACCGTTATTTGGACTTTTATGAATATTTACTTCATTTTAGGTATGTTTAAGTAGGGTATCTCCACGCGGGACTTCCGGGTCAAATTTTGGATAGACTTCTGAATCTGAACTAGCGCCTAATTCATTCTGGGTTGTTTATCCTGCAGTGGTTGTTTGAACCAGTAAAATAAAATAAAAAACTCTCTTTTGCACATAATTAATAATGACCTGTGTTTGGTTAAGCACATGGTGTATGGTCGGTTAACTGTTAATATGAATGTGAATCTACCTTGCATTCTTTTCAGCCAGTAGCCGGACAATACCCCAGAGAAAGTCTTCGGAACCATAGTGAGAGATGAAAGCATTGATGGTCTTTTCCTTGTCTTTGTGGATATCATCCACCAGCAGCTCCAACGCCCTGTGTGCCTCCAGGTCCTCGGGCTGCGCCAGCAGCGACTCGAAGTACTCATCCTGCCGCCAATTTAAGGTCATCTCCGGTTAATTTTCGTGCTCTAAATTACATTATTACGGTTTAAATATGATCCAGGACTAATTATGAAATAAAATATGACAAAATACAGGAGTTATTCATAGTTAACCCTATGTTGCTAGGTCTGTCTCTTCCGTACACAACTGTCGTCGTTACGATCGATGCGAATTTACATTGCGTCGCGAATTTGGGGGCTCCGAAATTCGGCCAAACATAACTCAGGCTATAAGCATCGACCCATCCTTCAGCGGGCTCTTCAGTTGTGATGTTTTAGAGTTTCTATCAAAATATTACATAGAAAAGTAATTGCTTTTACAATTTACTTAATTTTGAAAGGACATACAATTTTAAACCGATAAAGAAATGTATTTTAATATTCTACTTGAGAGTCGAGCTGATTGGATGTTCAATCGTCCTCTTAGCGGTCGAGATAGTTAAGGCCGAATCAGCAGGTTCCAAAGATAGTCTTGGATCATAACACACGAGACTAATAAATATATTCCTGAAATTCATCTCGACCCGGGTTCGGACCCCGCCCCTTGATCGTTTACATTAATTGGCAATGCATTTTTTAATTTTTTAGTTCTGTCCTGAGAATAATAACATAATATTGATAGTACACTCAGAAATGATTAAAATGAGATGATAATGACAATAATAGTTAAAAGGATTATGTATAGCGCATAATTAACAATTCAACATAGACTAGGCATAATTAATTGCATATCGATCTCTAGCTCCTGGGATGTCGATATGCGACTCTATATACCTGTACGCAGGCCCCCCCCCCCCCCCCCCCACCCCCCGCTTTTTCAGCGGCTTGCTGAGTCGTTGCGATTTTTGGGGGGACCAAAAAAAAGAAATTTGCGGCCCGATTTAAAAATGTCCACCCCCCCCCCCCCCCCCCCCCCCCCCCCCTTGAACAAATCCTGCGTACGCGCATGCCTTTTCGCAACAGAATACAGAAAAAGTGGAAATGGTGCACTGGGTTCATAGTTGTGAGTAAAGTGATAAATAGACTGATGTTACTTCTGAACTTTTCGTATGTTTCTATATTTCTAAGTTATCGTCCGGCAATTAATAAAACAGTGGCTGCATATGAAAAGGAACTGTCTCCATAAGACTGGGCCATAAGATTTTGTCAGTTTGTGGGACATAAAATAAAGACTTTGTACTGGAACGCAGCATTCTTTCTGGTTTATATAATTATATTAGCAGTTTAATACTCGATATAATACTCGATAATCAAATTGTATTACAACTTCAGCCACGTACTAGGCCTACCCACTCTTGTGAAATGTGCTGAACTCCACTTTACATAAAGATGGGAACCTATACAAGAATCTATTGGTGGTACAATCGTTGTTCCAAGTTATGGCACAATTAGCCTATAACAAAAAGAGTTTCACACATAAATCTTAACATTACGTAGGAGACTTCAAATTAAAAAATACCGCCGGCGTATAGTTCTTATTGTTTTCTAAAATTAAGTGTGTTTTTTTTTTACCACCACCCGAATTATATTATGTATTCGTTTCTACGACTTAGTGTGCGTGAATATGTGCTACAATATTCACCCTTTTAGGGATGATAATCGCCCGAGAAAAAAAATTCCGCACATTACGGATTTCATTTTGACCATCATTTATTACAGTCTTCATCAAAATAAACATATCTATAGAGCTTTCAGAGGAGATCTGTTACGAAAATTCATGATGGAGTGAGAGAGTGAGCGAGTGACAGAGTGAGCGAGAGAGAGAGAGAGAGAGAGGGGGGAGAGAGAGGGGGTGGGAGAGAGAGAGATGAAGAGAAAGAAAGGAAGAACACGAAACATCAAATTACACTGGCAAACAAATTACATTTTTGATGAGTTGGCTCAACATTAACTATATTTAGGCCTATATAAAGATTTCGGACAAAAGTAGAACAGTACGATAACAAAATAGTTCTATAAAGAGATGATTTATAAAATGAACTGATCGGGGCTTTGTGACTTTCAAGGAGAAAATTACAATCGCTCTGACGGTAATTTTTAAGGTTCTAAATTGTTAAAAACTCCGAGAACCGTTCCGGAGGCTCGGCGCTATATCCGGCAAATGTTCAAGTTCAAGTTCAAGTTTTATTTATCTTTCTTTCATAACACACATTACAAATGCTCCCGAACCTATACTACCCGTAAAGAAGCACTGTCAAGATTGTTTTTGTAATTTTTTTTTAATCAAAACAGAATCACAATATTTACAAATAATTGGAGAACAATTCAAAATTAACACAATACATTATGGAACAAAACGGCAATCGTAACATAGTACTAAGCGATAAAGATATACGGTAACATGCAGGTCCCCACTATATTGAAAAATCAGTGTTGTTGTAGTTTGTTCTGTTTTGTGTATACAATTATAGGCCCTGCTGAAAAGTTTCACACAATCAGACATGTGCCTGTCTAGATCATAACTCATAAGGATTTTGGAAGATAATAAAACAGTGCCCGAGATGACCGAACAATAAAATTAAGAGGAGTTTTTTTTTTTTTTTAAATAAATAATAGGCCTATTTACTAGCTGAAAATATGCAATCTATATACGACCAAAATATACTACAAGATGTGGCATGTTCTGAAGAAAGATGCAGGGGCTACAGCCCCCCCCCCCCCCCCCCCCCCCCGCGGGCCCATTATGCCTTCAAAAGACGGTCCTCCCCTGAGTAAATAATTACTGATATACACATATAAACGCCCGCACTCATCATCATCATCATCAACATCGTCATCATTATTCATCATCATATCATAATGATCATCATCATGTCATTCGCGATCATTCATCACCATCATAAACAACCCCGTCCTCATCTTTATCATTAGAATCATCATCGTTATCGTACCTCATCTAGATCAGTGGCTTCATCCTCCTTCCTCCGTATCATTCTTTATCATCAACGCATGCGCAGTCAAATCATCAGCAAGCAAAATGGCAGCGCCCACGAAACATGCGCTTTCGTTACAAATCCTCGCAGAATGTGGCACAACGAAAGCGAGGGTTTGTAAAATGAAACTTCCCCATCAAGTTGTGGATACGCCAGTATTCATGCCAGTTGGAACTCAAGGAACCATGAAAGGGGTGACGTGTGAGCAGCTGAAAGACTTAAATTGCCAGCTTATTTTAGGAAACACGTATCACTTGGGAATGAGACCCGTAAGTGTTGCGAGCTGACCGCCTTGCCTAGGCCGCTAGGACGCGACCATGATCCATGGTGCGACACTCCTCGGGGGGGGGGGGGGGGGGGGGTGGATGCACATGAGTTAGTTAGGCTTTTGCAAGCTGCTTTACCTTGACTCTTCAATTCTGATTCGACTAAAATTATGGGTAGTTGAAACTGAAATTGAAGAACGGATGGCTTTTGAATTTTTTAGTTTGCTTGCTTTTTTTGCAGTGCAGTCACACTCAATTTCGGAGACTGTGGATTGAGATGTTAATCTTATGATAGGCAAATTCATGCAAAAAAATATATTCAAGAAATTGACTTGAAAACACATCAGACAATTAGGTCTAGTCTGAACCGAGTCAGGAGCAAATTTGAAGAAATTATATTTTTAAATGTTGTAAAACCAAAGATATTAGAAGAAAACTGACCAAGTATCTGTACTAAAAATCGTACATGTAAAATTGGTCGTAGACATTCGACAGCAGAAAATGACGCGCACGATTGTGGTACGTGCGTTCTCGAATCCAAAATCGTATCTCACACACACACTCTCGCCATACCGCGAATGGTCCGTCGTGGGGAGCTAGCCGCGCGCCCGAGAGTTTGCCAGCGATACCAACGCACCCTCGGAGCTCCGCAGCGCACAATTTTAGCGGAACTCGAAAGGTTCGAGGTGGGAAGGTGGCGGGCTAGCTTTTTGCCAAAACCACGCTAGAACGTCTGCTGGCAAAGTGAAAATAACTACGATCGAGAACTTCGTCGGTTTCAGTGAGATAATTCTGAATTCTAATTGAGACTATATAATAAATTATATCGACAAAGAAACCTTGGTAGATCTCTTATAACTATACAAAAGCTTGTTTATTTCTCGTTTTGACATTTGTTTTCGAGCCATTTTTTCGTGCGCGAGTCAATGCAAACTTTGTATTACCAAACTTTCACCACGCAAGGAACGGGAAACACTCGCGGACCCTGTATCAAATTCGTTGCAAAAAAAAATTTCAAGGGTGATTTTGAAGCAGTGAAGAAAATTTGCGCTGCGATGCGCAGAAATATACTTGAAAGAAACTTAAAAAATCACACCTGAATTTTCAGAAAATCGTATTTGCATTACCGAGCCTAGTTGTGAGTTGTTTATAACTCAGATTTTATGAAGATTTGTCGGTGGTCATTTCTAGGCTAATATTTAAAAAGTTGCATCAGTAATGGGCCCGATGTTTCTCTTATCGTACTCGCATGTTATTTCTACATAGATTAAACATAGGATGGTTAGGGGTAAGACCGGATAACATTATAAAAAAGATATATCCTTCCACCCTCCCATATCCAAGTTTTGGGCTGATTATTGCCGACCCACCGCAGCAAGGCCATTCAGATTTTCGTACGCTCGCGAAGCGCCCTCTAGTGCCCCATGAATGTGCCTACTTATGAGCTAGTATTGATAATTGACAAGCAAAATAATTTGGACTCAAACTCTGAAGTGTAATTGAGCAATGATTCTGTCAATAATAGTCTATAGACCTATGGTAACTGTCATGAATGTCATCAATTGCGATAGTCTTGATTACCTTTTCAGTTTCACTATAAATTCTAGAGAATCTATAACAATCATGATAATGGCGGCTTGATATCAAACTATCCATGCATATTGGTTTCTGTACACGCCTAATTGTTGCCATTTGCAAGAATAGATACACAGTTGCGTGTGCTCCATCTTTGAGTTTGATTATTAATTATTCCGTCCAAGACCTCATATATTTATTTTTCAATTTTGTCATGGTTAACCACCTATATCTTTGTATATTTGGTAACATGTATTTCTCCCTTTTTTTCTTCTGTCTTACACTATACAGGGTCCTGATACATTAGAAAAAGCAGGAGGGTTACATCACTTCATGAATTGGAACAGGGCATTGCTTACAGTAAGTGAAGATGTATAGTGACGGGGCGGAATATAATCTTACT